CCCGTTTTCCTTGGGTGCATGTGCACCGTACTGTCTCGACGAAATAGCTTTCTCAACTTTTTTACAGACGACATTGTCATTCGCATCCGACTGAAGCGTCTGCCCACGCGACTGACTAAGTGAAGGTTCGCGTCCGGGAGCGTCGCGTTTTATAGCAACGGATTTCGTGCGCATGCGCAATAGACTCGTTCACGCCACATTCAAATCACAGAGCTATGCATCAGTGTCTTTGCTCTTAGCTCTGCAGAACGGGCCTGCTATGTCTAGTGTATGGTTTTCTTCGGATAATTGCACAAACTCATCATCATATATAGGTGACAGGTGTTAGCTACTTAGCTTCGCTTCCAACTGTTCTTTCGTGCGCCTACAATCGTGATTTTTGTACAAATAATTTACTGTGATTAAAGAGTGTGTATATAAATATATAACAGGTTTGAAGTCGCAAAACAATGATTACAGAGTGTACCTAGTACTGACACTTGCAGCTGAGTGTATGTGGAAACGTGTAGATATCCACGACATCGTCTTTTTCTACGATTAGCTCAGTGGCAATGAGGCCGTTGGGAATACAGCAGGGAGCAGGGTGGAGCTTCGCTTGTAAGTTGTTGAGCAACTGATGGATGAGGAGCTGTGTACGGTGGTCTGTGGGGGTGCTGCTATTAGTTGGAAGTCTGTGGTCGAAACTGCACTTCCCAAGGCAGTAGGTCAGTTTGATGGCACCGGGAGTGGGAGCAACCACATTGCCATCGTAACTCAGCTCTGCTGTTGTCAAGAACACCACATGCCTCGAGCAGGTCTCATTTCTCTCCAAGACCTCAGCTAGTGTAGTGCGGTTCTGTATGGCAACTGGTGTTGTTTGAGACGGCAGCGGAGTTTGGGGGGTGTTTTCCGCTTGCCTCTTTCGTCGCCGAACTGCCTCTCTGATGTTTTCTAGGGGGAACATAGATTTCTGGGTGAACAAAATGAGGAAAGACTTTAGGTCTGCAGCAGTTTCGTCTGTGAAGGCTACAACGGCATCGTTATCGTCCCTCAGCTGAAGAACCAGGTGAACCTCCTGCATCAGTTCCCAGTTGCAGTTGTTGCAGTCTATTGTGACTTGCAGCCACTCGCTCTCCCTCTCCTCGTCCAGCAGTGTGTGTGTCGCTATTGCCTGCTGCGTCTCCGAGACTGTTCATGCAGTCACTGCTCAGGTGAAGGTACCTGACGCAGCCAAAGTATTCCAGAGTTGGGACCTTGAGAGCGAGCTGCATTAGGACCTGGGATGACTTTGGCTCTGACAGCATCGAGAGGTCGAACGTAGCAACTCTATTTCCGTCTCTAATGGTAGGAGCATCTGTGGGAGAACGTTTGCGCTAAAGTACTGCAATGCACTGGATAATGCCAATGGTATCTATGCACCTTTCTCTGCGAAGCTGCGGATGGAGGTTGCGAATCCGGCGCTCTCGTTTCTGAGAGATTGAGCTCTCCTTCCTGGAGCTGACGGTCCTTGACTGTCTCGTAGATGGCCGTCAGAAGTTGAGTCCGCAGCTCCACGCTCTCGGAGCCCATTGCGCCGACCCAAACGACCCCAAACAGCAATGACAACAAACTGGCTAGATACATTACTCTTTTGGTTGAAGATTATGCTGCAACGTCTTCGCTGCCTGCATTTTATAGCATGCAGCTACACCCACCCACGCCATGCGCCAGGGATCTAAGGCTCACACAGGCGCAGACTCTTTGCGCATGCGTGACACACGTGGTGCAGAGAGAGAGAGGAGGTGCGTGTGTGATGGCTCTGATTCGGTCGCTGTTGCAGCGGTTCATGCAGAACAAGAGGAAGGCGCAGGAGGAGACGACGTCTGGAAGCTCTACCACCTCTCCACTACCACCAGGAGAGCGGAGGGCGAGAGGTGCAGGTTAGCAGGCCCCCAGATGTGGCTACCATGAGCAGTGCCGCCTGGTCCACTCCTCGGTCACTCAGCAGGTAATACTCGACGTCTGGATATTAGCTACCGTCTATCTGCTCACATCTACTCTGTAATTTTCAGATTTAGGGCATGGTAAATCAGGTGTCAGTATTGTATAGGTATAAAGTGGTATATTCAACCCTCGGCACGCATGCGCAGCGAAGGTTACAGCGAGCTACTAGAGGGAAACCAAGAGTATAAACTAATAGCCCAGCCCATCAATTAGCGGTACCGCGCATGCACAGTGCGCCGAGGGTTTGCAATTTAGTACTTTTCATATTTCCAGTTGATAACCAGGTTGAGGACCATACTGGACAGCAGGGGGAGTGGTGCTGTGTCTCGTATCAGTACTGGTGAGAGTGCATCTCCTGTTGACAGTGGTCCACAGTTATCAAGGTGCTCCTCCGAGATCATCACTGGTAGGTGGCCAAAGGCATTATTATTGAGCTGATGGAGTGTCCATGGACATGTGTACATACCCTGGCTGTAGGTCATAGCTGAAGTGTCCGGGCTCAGCCCAAGTCTCCTGATACAGGTGGTAGGGAGCGTTGTGGTAGTTGAAACCTTTGAGAGCCTCAGCCTCAGTTGATGGGTGGTGAATAAGTAGTGATGGCCGACAGTTAAAACTTCCAGAGTTCAGTGGGTCCCTCCGTAATAATTCGCGAGTTTCTTGAAAGACGTGAATATAATTCACGTTTGGACACGTTTTGTGATTGTGGTGAACTTGGCCTTCCGTTTACCACACCAGCTAGGAAGTGCAGTGGAGCGTATAGAAATGGGGCGGTGATACTAGCTAACATGTCTGCCACTCATCTGGAACAAGGAGACATGTTGTGGTAATGAGGTGTCTACCAGTATAACTGGGGCCAGGTAACAAGATTGAGACGATAGTATCCTAGTTCTCGGCGGTCGTTTCTTATCACAACTGTTTCCATAAGACTTGTGTATAGGGGTGTGCTCTGTGTAGTAATAGTCACATCTGGCCAGCCAGTCCTACTGGTAGCAGACCTAAGACAGACACCTTGATGTCTCCAGGCAAAACACCACTAATACTGGTGCTTTCCTGTCGTAGTGTGTAACTCTTGTATGGTGGCAAACTAGAGTTTCTGGTGTAATGCAAGGTGTCTCTTTAACAAATTCTACTATATAGCTACATGTTTTTATGTGTGGCCTATCAGTCTCCAAGACACAGAGTTGTCACACTGCGTCCCCCTCCTCCCTCCCCCTCACCCCTAATAATCAGGTGTTAGATTGAGTGGTCAGGTGGTTGCAGGAACAGTCCTTTGTTTCTTCCCTGGAACTGTGGTAAGTATGGCACACCTTTTTGTATGTTTAACACTGTGTACTGCATGTTTAACACTGCAAAGAAGTATACAATGTTGAGGGGGAACATTCCACAAAATAATGAAGGAGAAAGAACAAGCAATTGCCATGGAATTGCAAAACCTAATTCTAAACGTTGGTGTGGAATGACTTCATGTGATGCACACTAGTTCAGAGTTAAGGTGTAAGATGGGGCTTTTTTTGTTTGCATAAATGCTCACTGTCAATAATATTGTTTCTCTCCCCCTCCTCTTGCACCTTATTTGGCCCAGTATCTTCCAACAGAGCTATCAGACATGCCTGGCTTCCCTGATATTGGCAGGGACAACCCCTTCCTCATGTCTCGTACTGACGGCTCCATCATTGATGCCAAGCCTTACACAGTGAACCCAGTGAGCTGCTTCTCTCAGTTACTCATGGGGGCATAAGGGTGTTAGTTATTTAGCATTTTTGATTAGGCAGATGAGTGAAGAATAGGCAAACCAACTATGCCTAATACTTTGCCTAAAGTTGGAGTATGGAATAGTAACATACTGTATCTCGCTGCCCCTATCCCTATTTTACTTTACTAATCCCTATCTCACCTCTTCCAAACCCCAACCCCATACAAGGGTGTTAATGATTTTGCATTTTTGATTAGGCACATGAGTGAAGAAGAGACAAACTAACTATGCCTAATACTTTGCCTAAAGTTGGAGTATGGAATAGTAACATACTGTATCTCGCTTCCCCTATCCATATTTCACTTTACTAATCCTCCTTTTCACTGTCCTTTAACGAATCCCCAATAAGGATGTTAACGATTTTGCATTTTTGATAAGGCACACGAGTGAACAAGAGACAAACCAACTATCCTAAACACTTTGCCAACAGTTGGAGTATGGAATAGTATCTCGATCCACCGATCTCAATTTCTCTGTCCCTTTACAAATTCCCCTCTCACCCCCCCCAAAAATGTGTCCGGGAATTTGCTTTTTTGGAGGCACATGAGTAGAGGAAAAAGACAGACCAACTGTCCTTATTACCTTTACTATAGTTGGAGTATGGAATAGTATAGTTTCTCAACCAATGCTTGTATCACCAGAATTTGGCGCATTGCAAACAGTAGATGCAAGGTTTTCTGTCCCCAACCTCTGAAGGGATAGTATATATATACAATGCTATGGTTTGGTTTAAATACGATGTTACACTGTTAATTTCTTAGTTTATGTCTGTGTGCTATGGTGCAGAGTCTGGAACATCCTGCCTCCTATATCACGCAGGCCAGACTGACAGCCTAGTGGTTGGTCTGACAGCCTGTTGGTATACATAGGAGAACACTGTCCGGGCACTCTCATTCCTGATATTCACAGCAGGCTCCGGTCGTGTTTCTGAGTGTAGATAAGCACCCAGTCTTCCCCCATAGATGCAAATAGTGTACACAGCAACATCGGGCAAAGTCCTACTGCATTATGTCAACTTATGCAAACCTGGTGTAAAGAGTAGTAGTTGAATGCTCACACAATTGGCAATATATTTGGGTTGTGTTATACACCCCACTGTGTACATGCATGTGTCCCTCTGCTGTAGGGTGAGGATGAGAGGGAGAGAAGAGGTGTCCTGGGGGAAGGCCACATGATAAGACACCCACATGAAGGTGAGGTGAAAGGTGACACACCGTAATTGTAACGATTGGAGAAAGAGTGAATATGGAGCTTGTATATCACAGGTGGCTTTTGTGATTTTCTGTTTTAGTGATGTATGGAATTTTCTCTACAGGCCAGGAAGCTAACGTCATGCCGTTCTCATACAACGTAGATCCCTCCTTCCCCAAAGACCTACTCCCCCTCATACCCAACAGGTATATAGCTGCTATATACACAGGCCACCCACCATCTCTGCCATCACCCTGATGCCTGGTTCTCCTCCTATTGTCATAGGTACTACAAGACTCCGGGACTGTTGTACTACTCCAGGAGTCCCATGAGAACCATCGTCTTTGTGGCCACCAGACACATTCGAGATGAGGAACTCTTACTAAAGTGAGTCTCCACACACCTCGTCAGGGCCATGCAACAAGCAACAAGCAGGGATTTTCTGGAAATACTTTTCACTGTGGATAATCGGATCTTTACAGAAATGCAGGGGTAACCCAGACTGTAGTTTCTGACACTATATACTGTACTGTCACATTGGTATAGGCCCACTTGTAGTGTGGTGTGGGTATTGCAAACTACTGCATGTGATACAATGCTATGTGGAAAGGTACGTAGCATGAAGTGTGCCTCTTTTGTCAAACGAACAATTGAGTACACACGAATGGAAGCACAGACTAACAAACCATCCTGACTATAGCTGAAGAGTGCAGTGCAAGCCACCCTCAATAGTTACTGTTAAAATTGGATGGCCTATATTTTGCATCTGGTAAGGTGGCCTAAAGTTTTGTACTTTTTGTGAGTGCACGAACTGAAGGACAGGCTAACAAACCATCCTGAATTCCTTGACTATAGCTGGAGGATGCAGTGCAAGCCACCCTCAATAGTTACTGTTAAAATTGGATGGCCTATATTTTGTATCTGGTAAGGTGGCCTAAAGTTTTGTACTTTTTGTGAGTGCACGAACTGAAGGACAGGCTAACAAACCATCCTGAATTCCTTGACTATAGCTGGAGGATGCAGTGCAAGCCACCCTCAATAGTTACTGTTAAAATTGGATGGCCTATATTTTGCATCTGGTAAGGTGGCCTAAAGTTTTGTACTTTTTGTGAGTGCACGAACTGAAGGACAGGCTAACAAACCATCCTGAATTCCTTGACTATAGCTGGAGGATGCAGTGCAAGCCACCCTCAATAGTTACTGTTAAAATTGGATGGCCTATATTTTGTATCTGGTAAGGTGGCCTAAAGTTTTGTACTTTTTGTGAGTGCACGAACTGAAGGACAGGCTAACAAACCATCCTGAATTCCTTGACTATAGCTGGAGGATGCAGTGCAAGCCACCCTCAATAGTTACTGTTAAAATTGGATGGCCTATATTTTGCATCTGGTAAGGTGGCCTAAAGTTTTGTACTTTTTGTGAGTGCACGAACTGAAGGACAGGCTAACAAACCATCCTGAATTCCTTGACTATAGCTGGAGGATGCAGTGCAAGCCACCCTCAATAGTTACTGTTAAAATTGGATGGCCTATATTTTGTATCTGGTAAGGTGGCCTAAAGTTTTGTACTTTTTGTGAGTGCACGAACTGAAGGACAGGCTAACAAACCATCCTGAATTCCTTGACTATAGCTGGAGGATGCAGTGCAAGCCACCCTCAATAGTTACTGTTAAAATTGGATGGCCTATATTTTGCATCTGGTAAGGTGGCCTAAAGTTTTGTACTTTTTGTGAGTGCACGAACTGAAGGACAGGCTAACAAACCATCCTGAATTCCTTGACTATAGCTGGAGGATGCAGTGCAAGCCACCCTCAATAGATAAATGGGAGGCTTAGATTTTGTTATGCTGGTAAGTTGGCCTATCGTACGTTAAAGTACGAACGATTATTTTCAAAATCTGGGCCTCATTTGAACCGTAACTGTTAATGGCGGCTTGCACTGCACTCCCCAGCTATAGTCAAGGTATTCAGGATCGTTTGTTAGCCTGTCTTTCCGTTCATGCACTCAATTATCGTTTCCCCTGGTATATATGCAGCTATAGACTTCACCCGGACTCTGAGCTGCCCAGTTGGTACAGGTCTCGTGATACAGAGGAGGACAGACAGAGATGGAACTACTAACAACTGTAGGAGACCATTTCCACTCATCACTCAGATAATATTTTATCCCTACTATAATATTATTTCCGCAAGTGAGAAAACATTTACAATCACCCAAATACCGGAATTAATCATGCAGTCTTTTGGATTGTGTCTCCCGCTGTACAATGGTCACTGCATGCAAATCGTGACCTTGGCTCCCAAATTTGAAGTCTTGTCAATTTCCCATTTTGTGTCTCACTACATACTCCATGTTGTGTAACACTCTATTGAACAGTCTGCCCGCTGAGTATAACTCTCGTGTATATAGCCAGGTCGCCACTCTTTCTCTCCAACTGTCCTTTTAAAAAAAAACAACTTGGTAACTGGTACTAAGTAGACAGTTCTCTTGTGCTAGTTTCGCACATGAGTGCATGCGTACTTGAGTAAAATTTGTGTCCTGTGTTTCAGCTCCTTCTTTAGACATGTATCATAATAGCTGGAGCTATATTTATTATCCAGTCCTATTCATGTTCTCATGCGTGACATCTGCTAAACATGTCTTGATCGGTTTCATCATCAAAGCAAAGAGTAAAAAATGCAAGATGTATATAACTTAAACAAGAACAGTGGACATCTAAAATGAGAGCAACAGAGTCAAAGTGTTTATTACAAAGGAGGAGAAAGGATGACGCAGGTAGCCAATCAGGTAATAATAATAACACAATGACATTTCGATACTACATACACAGCAATAGTGCGGGAACACACAGTGTGGATAAAATTGCTCCGATGCGACCGTACGTACAACTACGTAGCATACTGAGGTACAAACAAACAAACTAAATGAGACACAGCTAGAGAGGAGTTCTGTTCTCGGATGCAAAACGTAATGACTATGCTCTCTCTATCTGCAATCATTCAAGGCACGCTTTGTTGTTATTTTTTCTTATACAAATTTGATATAAGTGAGTGGAGAATTATGTTATAGTACAAAAATTAATATTATACCATGTAGTAATGTCGACGCACGCTCGCTCGTCCATAGTTCCCACCTAAAAACAGTGGACGGTGTTGCTGATATACAACAAATAAATAGGGACACACGTCATCATAGATTCAGCTCGTCCGCGACCTTTGTGGCAATCTGCTTGAAATCCATGCTGTTTCCCGAGATGCGTTTGAAACGGACGCCGTTGAGGGACAGTCGGGGGAGCTTGCAAATCTCCATCTCCCACTGGACGAGGTTGCCCCCCTCGCCCTCCCCATAATTACACAGGACGAGGAACCGCTCTCTCTTCTCGTATGAGATGGAGTTGTTGTCGAGGACGCGGCAGATTTCGTCCACCATGGCGTGAGGGTCCATGTTACTGGTGGTCTTCATGCTCCACGTGAACCGCAGGGACCGCGGCTTGTCCTCCGAGTTGCCACGCCCACTATTCCTTGGACCACTAGAGAGGGGAGATACAAGAGAGACGGAGTGAATATGCGGTTAGTGTGGGCATGCAGTGTCACTAGTGGTGGCTAATGCACCAGAAGTGGCTTGAGGGAATATCAAACGCTCTGTATGTGCCCTTTGCCATGTACATTATACATGTGGTTCACCATTGTACATAGGACTGTGGGTGACAAGGCCCAGTTGAATTGGAAGCTGTAGTTTGTCTGAATGTGTGCCCTTTGCTGTAGGCTATGGTTTAATTCACTGTTCACTGTATAAAGATGGTATGTAGGTGACAATTGACAGTGTTGAGCCTGGGGATGGGGGAGGGGTGTCTTATATTACATGAAACCTTTTGTTACCTGACTGTATTGTCAATGGAAATGCTGCCACATCTACATTTGGCAAGAGGGTAACCTTACTCTCCAGATACACCACACTATAGTACACGCAGTCCGTTGCTTGGAACACACTGTTAATTTTGGTATTGTGGTTGTGTCACAATTGGCAAATCACCACTCTGTCTCGTGCATGCAGGAGAGCCTACACCACTATAGCAAGAAACCCTTTGAGGGGAAAGGTTTCGCAGTTTTGGGAGCAGTTTCGCCGTTTGGGAGCTGCGAAACTGAGACAATGTAGAAAATGCCGGGGCTTTCCTATGGTGTAGTTGGTGCTAAACTGAGATGCACAATAGGCCAACAGTTTACACATAAAAGCACACACTCTTGTTGTATTGTGCATCTCAGTTTAGCACCAACTATATAGGATCGCCATAGGAAAGCCCCAGCCACACTAACACTGAGTGTATTAGGGGGGGTGTTGTACGCGGGGGGCCAGTTTACTTACCTATTTCTCTTGCTGAACCTATTGGGAATGAGTCTCTTGAAGAACCCTCCTCCGATGGCTGCCTGCTGGGCGGCACTGGCTCCGCCCGTGATAGTGTACTGCTGACCAAAGGGAGGGGGAGGTCTGCTGCGAGTGCCGTATGCGTAGGTGCTGCGTGCGGGGGTGTTCCTAGTGAAGTTGGGGTTGGTGGGCATGCTGGGTATGGCCGCCAGGTCCATCACTGGTCGCCCTCGTTGGTTCTGAGGTGCAGTACTGGACAAGGGGAGGGGAGAGGGGGAGAGGTGGAGGGTGAGAGCGACAAAGCAAGAGATAGGGCAAGTATAAGAGAATAAAATGTGGAGCACGTCATGCAACACTTGTGGATTACATCATCATGCAACATAAACAAATATAAAGCCACCGCAGTGTCTTTGTCTGTCAACAAAGAACAAGTTTCAATTGTCCCTCAGACCATTATACGGGAATTGCTAGACTTTCTATGGAGTCCGAGAAACATAAGAATGGTATGTATGTACATAGTTGCACTGAATTTCTTTGCGGTGCACTGTAACTAGAGTATGCAGTGTTCACTGTACCTATAGTAAAATGTACCTTGGCCTGAAGATAAGCTGGTCATCGTCAATGGGAGGAAGGGAAAGTCTGGTGTTGGCAGAGCCAGATTCAGCTATCGGTGACTTGCCCAGCTTGGCCTGGTGCTGGCTGACCACTGCGGCCCCAGCTACTCTGTGGTGCCTCACTGGCAGACTTGTCGTCAGATCCGGCACTCCATAGCTGTTCCAAGTACACACACACAGTAACAGATGATGCATCATAACATGTGTATGTAGTAAGGCCAAATACACTGCACGACCTTGCTACAAAATCTTGGGCAACTTCACACAATGTGTAGGAGTGGAAGTGAGTTCAAAACAGTCAGTAGCATGGACCAATTCATTCATCAATGTTCATGCAGAACTCCTAGATTACAGTACATGTTATAATACAAATGACATGCATTTACATATGTACAATGTGACTGGAGCAAGTAAGTGTATAAGCTGAACAGTGTAGTGTATGGACGGCTCACCTCTCTGGTTGTGTGTGCGAGTGTGTGGTGCTGTTCTCAATGTGATTGGTCTCAAAATGCATCGTCTGACGTCGCGTGGATGGCTGCAGTACAATATGAGGAAAACAGATCACGAAAATCTCCTAAACCAATATGCACATCATGTGACATGTAGTATGTGCTCAGATTTTAGAAGGCCAATACTGCATATGGACAGTGTCCAATACAGAAAACCTAACATTAAACTAGCGCCCCATTATTCATAAAGGAAGGGATAGGGAAGTGGAAAGGTGTATCTTTGTAGTGTTACTGTCTGTATTTCCTTACAAAACAAACATTGTGTGCTTAGATAAGAAGGGCCTAATATACCCACCCCATTAGGCTAGTCATTGTTGAAAAACAGAGTAGTCCCACCCAGGTATCCTATAACACGACCGAGTTGTTGTCCACTCACGTGATCGTAGGAGCCTTTTCTCTTGGAGCCAGGCATCTCTGCCCGGTTGGGGTTGAGGGCCGAGCCAAGCTTCTCCTCCATGGTGTGGGGAGACACCTTCCCTCCTCCCACTGAATCCGAGCTCTCGGTTCTGGAGAGAGCAACAACATGACCCCTCCCTCGTCTGAGAAATACCACCACTTACAAACCCAAAAAACCGTTGTTAGTATGCAGCTGTGTTCCCAGGCTTCCTCCAAAAGGTTACGGAGAGCCTACCACAAGTTGCATAGAGTAGCTACAATGTATGTATCAAAACTGGGCACCAAAGGGAGCTAGAGTGAGCCCATGAGGGGGGGGGGGCTTGGCTATTTTCACACATGACTTCCTAGACCTGGGAGCTATGTATTAAACTAAACTCTGCTCTACAGGTCACTACAGTACTGTAAAAAGGACTGCTATACGAGTTCAAAGGTCCCTCTACGGAGCAATTACGCGGCATTTAGGCACGCGGCTTACATTTGACGTCACATCATGCATGCATACACAATTTGTGCACACGTGAAAGCCAAGGTTGACAATGCATACGATTTTCTCAAAATAAACATTTCCCACTGTGTATGCAGTGTTTGTCATTATACAGTGGGAAAGTGCCTGATTTTCAATTTATGGCACCGTGCATTCATTCTCAATGTAAATATGCAGCTACATGTATGTATATATAGTAGGTAAAGAGCCTTACCCTCTGCCGTTGACCACAACCTCAGGGTTTCTCTGGCTGTCGTATTCCTGCTGTCGTCGAGTCGAGGTGGGCTGGCGCATTGAGTAGCTTCTCCCCTTGAATGGCTGAGGCTGTGTTGTGGACAATAGAAAAATCAACTATAGTACAATGGGATGTCACTACATGTAAGATTAATCTGACAGTAAACTAGTATACACAAGTTATTAGGCGTGATTGTGGTTAGTACTCTTAGTAACTATACTTCATTCATATGTATGCCTAAAAGTGTCGCAAAGTTTTCTGCAAAAATATTTGTGTTACACGCCATAGACTACATGGTAGTAAAGGACACCAACATTCCAGATACATAAGTCGGTTAGTATAGGGAGAGTGGAGTGAAAGAGGAGAGAGTTGCCAACCTGGTTGTAAGGCTGGAGGATGCCCGGTGCAGACATCTTCTTCCCGACTGGGTGGAGGTTCCCGTCATCAGAGGCCGTCTTTAGCGGCTGCGGCATCTCTCCTCCCATCCCATTGGGGGCCGACGGCAGAGTGTTGATCCCATTTGGCTGCATATGTACATACATAAATTATGTGTATATAGCATGACAGGAAACAGGTAGTAAGTAACATGGGATACATCATCTCGTTGGGTTGCCACGCTATAGGTCAGCCTTTGCTGGCTTAATGCCGTTGCAAAGGTGCATATATACGTACTCATTCTAATTGGCTTAGAGGTCACACTGAATATGCATTGGGTCCCATTCAAACCCCTGCCAAATAGCTACAACAATACATCAGCTTCAGTGATTACTTCACTGCCTACCAGCATCGCAATGCGTGTGTACATTGGACAGTCTTAGGTCTTATTATGTATACACTGTGTTACATACTTACATACATGCAGGAGTCTATTATAATGTACTACAACGTATATACCTTACTGTGCTGCTGCTGCTTACATTTGAGTCTCCGAGTTCTCTCTCGAGGAGCATGTAGGTGGCGCACACCTCGTCGTATCGGTTCTCTGCCAGACTCTCCCGAATCTCCTTTGACGTGAACCCCATCTGGACCATCCTCTCTGTAGTGGAGGAGGAAGAGGGAGGGGAGAGGGAGAGAGGTGAAGAGGAGGTGAAGAGGAGGAAGGGAAAGAGGGAGAAGGATGATACTCCAAATACTGACATCACTACACATCTTTACTGTGACATATGTGTAGGTATCGTACGGGCATACACTTGAATTGATAACAGTGTATGTAGGTATACTTTTCCAATCCAGGTGCAAAATTGGAGAGCCCTAGGGTACAATACAAATGCTCCCTTCCCACAATGCTATATACATACATAGAGAAAGGCCTCTCCAGCAACAAACTGTTTATGTCAAAGGTTCACACAGTCTACAATACAGAGCACACAAAAACACTATGTATTTGCAGCTACAGAGTGTGGGTGCAGTGAACCCCTATTGTACAGGTAGGAGAAGCAGATATTAGGTGAGAGTGAATGACTCACGTATCCTGGCCTGGTTGTTGATGTCTGCCTCTGGCTCTATGTATGGCTTCAACTCCTCCTCGTCAAACCCCATGTTCATCCACCTGTCCTTCATAATACCCTGAGAATGAGTCCCACCATTAGTAAGACATATGTACAACAATCATGCTTGCTGTATATACATCTGGGAATATAAATGCAGATTTTCTTTGGCAATAATTTTGACAGGTATAAAATTGAAAGTGCTTAATTGTGCAAAATATTTTTGCAATATTTTTTTGTTCCAAACCATGATTGCATTATGTAAGAAAATATAAAAAGTGGGGTTTCAAGTGGGTGGATGAATGTGTATATACACCTCGAGACTGGCTCTCTTGAGAGGGTTGAGAACTAGGAACTTTTTGAGGAGATTCTCGCAGTCTGTGGACATGTAGAACGGAATGCGATACTTTCCTCGCAGAACCCTCTCTCGTAACTCCTGCACGACGACCAAATAGGGACAACACACGTAAAACACTGGTGAAATATGAAATAACATACTGTACATAGTGTGCACTAAATAGAAGGGTAATATATACAACCAGACACCAATAAGAGTCCTCCCCCTTGTCTTAATTGTCTTAATGTTGCTGAAATCCACAAGGAATGCCAAACATCTGAGTAAATACTCGATGCTTGTCTGTCACACTAGAAATTTATTATTGACACTGTACACCATAATTCTGCCTAATAATTATTACAGCTGCACAGAACGTACTCTGGGTCCAGCCATCTATACATACACGCACACACTTAGAGTGACATGCTCTTGAACGTATGTATACTCGATATTGTCAAACTTACTCAATTCATGTGCAAATGACATTAAATAATAAGTGTACCTCATGCATAACTAACATACATACTTAATTCTCACATGCATAAACTGTGGTTACAGAGAACACAACCAGTGGTCCAATAAAGTAATTAAATTTTCGGAGACTCAATTCATACAGAACAAACCAAAGAAACTAATTCAAACTGGGTGGTCAGAGCTACAATAGTGTAGACGTGGAACGTACAGTATATGGAGTGCCCTGTGGAAACTGTTTGCACAATGTCTGTGTGTGTAGATGGAGCACTTCCCAATCCCCAGGAGAAATCTTCCCACCGGCCGACCGACTGAACAACCAACCACACACACACACACACACATACACGGTAGCCAGCCAGTCAGGCACTTTATGTAGTGTAGACAGTTGCCACTGTACATGATGCCACATTCAGGAAATTGTTGCTAAGGTCAGCTTTTACATGGCGTTGAAATCAAGTAAAAAACCACTTCAACACTTAGCCTTGTGCAAGTTTTACAGCTTAAGAGCTGTTCAAAGAATGTATGTATATCTTCCTGCACCAGGACTATCGGAAGAGGAGGACATGCCATCTGTGAAAGGTTTCTTCACTAAATTCCACTAAACCACGAAAGTTTCTCCCTCAGAAGATCCCTGCAATATATGTATCTGCTACATTACACAGTTCTTGGAAAGAATGGCCACTAGGGGGTTCTTTTCTGGAGGGGGGATTTGCCCCCTGAAAATGGGTTTGCTCCCTGAACTAGTACTTTATAAAGAGCAGTATTGTCTGAGTTAACTTGTGCCCTCCAGTTCCCTCCCAAAAAAACAATTCGTCCCCTCTGAAAAAAACCGCTGTCACCCATTACCTTGAGGTTGTTTCCATCAAAGGGAAGGGAGCCGCTGACCAGGGTGTAGAGTATGACCCCCAGACTCCAGACATCGACCTCCGGACCGTCGTACTTCTTCCCCTGGAACAGCTCCGGGGCCGCGTACGGAGGACTCCCACAGAACGTGTCCAACTTGCTGCCCGGTGTGAACTCATTGCTGAACCCAAAGTCGGCTATCTTGATGTTCATGTTGGCATCCAGGAGTAGGTTCTCAGCCTGTTTCGTGGAGGGAGGGAGGGGGGAGGGAGGAGTGGCATGTGGTATTATTGGACACACATGTAACGGAAGGGAGGGGGAGGGAAGGAGAGAGGAAGGGGGTGGGGAAGAGACAAAGAGGTAAGGAAGGAGTGTGGGGAGTTGGGTAGGTGTCTAAGGCATACAGGCTGGTGTGTTTTGCGTGCTACGCACATACAGTACATGTATAGCAGCAGCGAAGTTGGGAAAATTAAGAGAAACAGATGTTACAAAATAACGGGGCACATGGTTACGTTGACACGAATGCGGTGCATGTATTCCTACGTCCCAAACAAACTGTACAATTACCTTTAAATCTCTGTGGATGACATGTTTCTGATGACAGTACTGGACTGCCGACACAATCTACACGAGGGGCGAGAAATGAGAATAGATGAGCAGTACAATCACTGCAAAGCCCTAGCTGCACAAGAGGACCCGGACCATTCAATACCTGTCTGAACTTGACTCTTGCTTCCTTCTCCTTCATCCTCCCATGAGCCACTAGATAGTCAAATACCTCTCCTGCACCAATGTAGACAGGCAGTAGTGACACTTTCACGGGAGCACATACGTACAACATTGTACGCAAATGCAATGGAAAATTTCTCTAAGATAGAATAGATTGGACACAGGAGACACACACAGAGAGACACTGCTACAATACGCACGCCCCCAAAACAGCTAGACTACACAACACGAGGTGTACACAAGTACAATAGAAAATCCTCTAAAGCTTTCAGAGACACACGATGTTCCAGCCCCCCAATCGACAAATGAACAACAAGACACTTCACGGCAAGGACAGCTACACCAGCCAGGGAGGGAGCTTGTATTAACTGTGCTACGACACTGCCCACACAATGTGTGGTTTATACAGTACATGCCAAAAAGGTCGTGTACAATACGCTCTACCCTACCAGTTCCACGTGGAGTGTTTGCATGGAAGGAGTCTTCTTGTGGTTCCCTGTGGCGCACTGGTTCTTGTACGGAAAGCATGCTCAAGAGCATGTGTTTGCCGGAAACAGGTGAGTTGAAAGAGATTGCAACTAACTGCGCCCCTATTTCGAAGCTTTTGAGGCCAATTATTACTTCTGTGTGGGCAGTCCTTTGTAGCAGCACACTTCCATTTGACCTCAGACAGCATCATGAACTTGTACCAAACACACCACACACTCCTATTGTATAAACCTAACTAAGGATGTTGGAGAGGACAGTGTACATGTGGTCAGAGGGAAGGCCCCCCCCTCACACCAGAATGTGGTCTGTGGAGGTGAGTTCAGGAATAGGCCACTCAGAACACAATGCCCTCTGTAGCCCACTGTGTCAGCTCAATGGCATGTATACATAGTTGTGGTCAAGCGTGGGGGCATGCTACAAAGCGGTGGTGGCAGGAAGTTCATGCATCTCAGCTTCCAAGTCCAGAGGACCTAAATATGTACAACAGAGTCTCATAGATGCAGCATGCTGACTCTTATGTACATGCATGCTCAGTAATGATGGCATTCCACAATACCAACGTGTTGCTGGGAACACACTCTGAGCACATGCCACCTGCTTCCCAGTGAGTGTGCATGGTCACAAGGAGAAAGGATAAAAGAGAAAGGGAGAAGGTGGATAGGATAGAGCAGTCAGAGAGACCCGCTAAACACGATCTCTTTACTGCCTACATAATGTACACCCCAGTAACAAAACATGCATCTGTCATACATTGATGTTGGGCCAGGATATTGTATGTGTAGATATACTGCAGTGACAGATTGGATATTGATCAAGCAGGGAGGAGGAGATAGGGGCAGATCAATCAGAAAACCTACACAGAGTAGTCCACCAGACCAGGGGTTAGGATATATGCAGTGTTGACACACTGTGAAGGGTTACTGCATACCTCACACCCATCAGATTCCACAGCAGTGTGGGCCGTGCCAGCCTCTTCCTTGGTCGGGTTACCAGCCAGGCTAGGCTACACAACAACCAGACCCACTAGAGGCTCACTAACACCTCGCTTCTTTCAAAAGCTACTGCACAGTGCCTCTTACAGAGGACACTCTGAACATAGGATACTTCTCTATGAAGGACACTAGTTTCGAACCAACGCTTATATGTACATTTGTGTATTATACAGTATGTGTATCTGTACCTCCACTGGCGTACTCCATGACTAGATAGAGTGTCTTCTCAGTCTCTATCACTTCAAACAGTTTCACTGCAACATACACACATATCACCACAGTCAAATAAGACAATTATTGACTGCTAGTGTGCTACACATAAATCATGCATGCTGCTGGACGGTTTTTATTCTGGCTGTGGTCACACCACACTGTCAGGTTGGAACCTTAGTTCAGCTAGTGTAACGTCTCATGCATGACTGAAAATTAAAATGCAGTTAATCAATTAGTCACAGTTTTGAATGTCAGCAAAAAAAATTTCTCAATAACATGTACTACTGTGTCACCCAGGTCTCAAGGCAATGGTAGGGCAACAACAAGCTATGTTATGTGTAGCGTATGATGTACAGTACAACAAGCACCCGCTAACCTATATTGGGATGATCCAAGTACTTCATTATCCGTACTTCTCTGAAGAGCTGTATAAGGAGAAGAAACACCACAGGAATGATGGGCATTAATAAGAGTATAAGTTTGAATACAAAAATGTAGTATGCATATGTGGCACACGCTGAATGAACGCACACACTTTAGCCTCGCCACGTAAGACAAACAGCCATTGTGAGGACTAATGGACCTTACAAAGGCAACCACAGCTGTCAACTCTCTCTACTAGGCAATCATACTAGCCACGGGCATCAACATCAACATCAATGTGCATGTCCGGTATGATAATCACTAAAAAGAATAAGCTTTTCCTAGAAGTCAGTACATAAGGGTGTTGGAACTACACATAAAGAATATAATTGGTTTTGTTTCTCAAACCGAATTCACTTACACAACCCTTGGCATGAATTGGGCCCACAATTAGGTAGGAAAGAGGCAAGGGACTTATTTAATTCACATTATGTAAGTGCATGTAATGTTGCACCAACATTTCATTGACACTGTATTGCATTACATGTACAGCACAATGTAGCCAAGAGCCTGTCGTGGCTACCCAATTATCATAGGGTGGAGTTTAGCGTCAATACAAGACCCACTACTAACAAGGATGTGGACAGACACACTAGGCTGTGTCTGTCCACACACAGACACACACACACACTCACACGTTGTGAGGCAACTGTAGCACTACACAATACTACGAGTGTCTGAATGACACCATCCATCCATTGTCAATATTTGCAGTGCTCCAACCACAATAGACGCCCAGACCTTACAAATCCACATGCATATATACACGTACATGTATGTACAACATATAACGTTTGTGTATGTACGTATGTCAAGGGACCACCACTGTCAGTTAAAGCACACAGTTATTATTTCGAGTGGAGACGGAGTAGGCAGTTTGCTAACCCCTACTCCAAGAATAATCAAAATTTCAAACCTTCACACCCTCGTTGCAAACATGTAAAAGCCACTTTGGAGGATCAGCAATAGGGTGTGTAGCCTGCAAGCCATTCTGTGGCAAAAACTCTCCACGCATGCCGTCGTTCACTGCGCATTCACACTCTTTGCGATGCACATTCCCGGAAATACAGTACCCAGCCACTATATCGCTTGGCACGCTAAGGCTCTTCAGCATTCTCAGGGGTCAGCTAGATAGGCCCTTGGGGCATAAATATCACGCAATCTATGTGGGATATATACAATATTTGGGGGCCTGAGATCTGGACCCCTGGGTTTAGCAAGAGCTGTCCCAATATAATCCCCTCTCTGAAAATTGCAGTACCTTTTGCAGACTTCCTGGGTTGAGTTGTGTCTTGTCAATGATCTTGATGGCCACCTATGTAGGTGTGACAGGGAGAATGGCAGGGGGATGGGGGAGGAAGAGGTGATACCAGTACAACAGAGAATTGACTACAACCACAGGAATGTATCGAGTGTCCCTGTACCGGCACAGTCATTAGCTGTTTACTAGGAAAACAAATACACATTCTACAAAGGAGGATAATATGTATGCATTTCGGTTTCTCCATAAAGAAAGCAATTTCTCAGGCATTTCAGGTAGATGGTACATGGTGTTCCTGCCGTAAAGCTGCAATGTATATACATCACAACCTCACCTGACATCAAGGCCCAACTATTTCACACACACAATCAATGCCAATTAGGGTTTGTACAAGCAAGTTAGGTACATACATAGTAAACCCACTTCCATGATACACAAATTGTATGCATAGCTGGGCCAACCTCTTGTCCTGTAGGCATGTGTCTGGCAAGTTTGACTTTGGCAAAGTTTCCTTTCCCAATCGTCTTGAGCAGCTTGTACTTTCCCACGTACACCTCGTCCCCTGGTGGACGGGACGACGACGACGGACGACTACGACTGCCTGATGAGGAGGAGTTGCCCCCCGTGTCTCGTCCCGAGGAGGGGGGGCGGTGGTGGTGGCGAGACGAGCCCGAGCCCGAGCCCGAGCTGCTGTGCCCGTGACTGCTGTGGCTAGTGTGGCTACTGTGACCATGGCCACTAGAATCAGGGAGGGAGGGTAGGAGGGGAGAATCTAACATTTGAGGTTATAAACGCAAAATTGTATTTGGCGAGTGAAGCTAGTCTTCTGAATGGGGGATTTTTCACATATGTTTGTATGTGATGGGCACTGCCATATTGTTCTATGTGATTCTAAACACTCCCGATAAGTTCTAAAACTGCTCGCACTTACTCGCAATTAAACATTAATTCTAGTGTTAGGAGCTATACAACATCAGTCACCATTACCTCCTTTAATATTTATTCACGACTAAAAGGTCTGGCCCTGAAGTATAGAGTGTGTATATACCTGGTGTGTCTGTGTGAGCCCTGTGAGGCACTGGAGTGGTGGTGATGGTGGCCGTCTCTGTGACGGTGGTGACGACTGTGAGCGTCCTGCACATCACATAATAACACACATAACCAAGCTATTCCTGACACTGCACCCTTTCATTCAACTGAGTATAGCAATGTGATACACATAACCATCAGTAATCCATCAGGTCGGGCATAACTGTATACACATGAGACAAGCACACACAGTGAGTGAGTCTGCCTGACTTCAACAGATGACACTACAGTCAATAAGCAAGCAGCCCCCGAAAAATTGCTGACATTCTGTACATTCACAGGCACCCACTGTGCATGTTAGCCGTTAAATTTTAGTTTCTCTATAACGACGAGTTACACAAAATAGGAAAACAATTTCCAGTAAGGCATCTGTAACCTTATCACACATTCAAAGACTGGCAGGCTAGGAGGTGGGACTAAAACCTTTATTAATTATTATGTATGTATGAGTCGCCATGTGGCAAGTGTGATGCGGATACACAATAAACTCTGCACACACACACACACACACACACACACACACACACCCACATGGACCCACACATAAAACACACACAATACATCTGGCAACAATAACCAATATCTGTGCTCATAAATCATAAAACAACTGCGCTGTGTGCTGCTGTTTCGGCACACACCACCAGGCGCAAGACAAAACGTTCCGCACAATCCAACACACGTTCTCAGGTGTACACCTACACTGCCGTTAGCAACGACTAGCAGGCGACACATTGGGTGGCATGCAGCGATATGTGTGCTAACTATGCACACAACAACACTGTACATGTGCCATACAGTACACCAGGTACCCAGGTAGAGAATTTCACACGGAAGACGGTGCTCAGAATTATCAGATTAGATCAAGCAACATATGCACCTCTCTTGTAATAGAGGAAACATCAAAACGTATTAAAGAAGGTCATAATGTAATTTAGCTCGGCGAGAAATGCAGTACTAGGTATGGTGGAGGTCTAATGGGAGCCCACCAGAGGTCCGTACATGGAGAGTGGTGCTGGCAGGTAGCGGCTGGCCGGGCAATGGTTTGGCTAACACCAGAGGTTCTGACCGGCCGGTAAGGAAGTGGGCTAGTGGCCCGAGTGACTAAGCCACCGTGTCCGTCGCATGTCCCTGCTACAAAGTGCCTACATGCATATCACACGGCATCTGCAGCACACTGACGTGAACTGTATTGCAATTCCCGACGACATGACCACAACACTAGCCGCACTATGCTCTGGTTTCAACTGGCGCCTCGCGCATTATAGCTACATACATTCACAACAGTCACCGCGAGCATACAACACATTTCTGTGGCATAAATTGGCAGAATGTGCCTTGAAACACATGTACATCCGTAGTCAGTTATGCAGCAGTATCTGTTGGGTCAAGTACACACCCTCACAATCTCAGACTCAGACCAGTCTAAAGAGATTCATAGTGTGAGGGTCTGCACAGGCTATGTGAAGTATGGAGCGAATTGATTGCCCACAGGTATTCATGGACTGGGTACTGATATGGACCCACAGGTACACATCACCTACACACACAGCCTTTCAACGGGCGAGTTTGTTTTTCGTTTGGTAGGAAATACCCGATTCAAACCTCTAACATTAACTTTCAAGTTGGTCTCTGACAATATATATAATATGGTGCACTACCTGTGTACTTTGCAAAAGGCCGTACTTCACAAATTGCCTAATGTGGACACACACACATGTAACCACTGCAGTAAGCAAGTAAACCCTTTTCCTGCAACAAACACACACACACACACAATGCATGTGTATGCACACGTGTACACATTACAGTATATACACACTCAACTTGTAAGTGTATTCCCCACACTCAGAAAACAAGTCACAGAATCAATGCAGTGTTAGGCACATGCACACCCACTGCTGTAGCTGGTGTAACACAGGGCAGCATAGTACACGACAACCACACAAATCCAATATGTACATACGCAGCCCTTCCTTTGTACTACAGTATACATAAACCCCTGGAGTAACAAAACCTGAGATTCATCACCCGGTAACTGGTACGGCCTAGAAATATGCAACTAGAGGTAACCGAGCCATTATTCAATACGGTACTAGCATTCAGAATTCCCACCACTCCCCCTGGTTTCTCCAATTCCCATGCTTGCCCACCACCAGTCACATTAGTATGCTGGAGGTCAGTAAGATTATAGTACTGCTTGTCTTGATTTGCTCCTAACATAGTCTTTGACTACACACACACATTCTATAGTCAGCCGAACAAGTAATCCAGCCAACCAGCCATTGTCCTGCCAATATTTCACATCTTTAGCCGACAGTACAGAGCCACTCAAAGGATCGTGTGTGTCTTTGATTTCTTGCTGGTACAAGAGCTCATCTTTCATGCAATTCATGAGTACCAGTGCCCTTCTCTGTTAACGTCACTAAATTGCTTCAAATTTCAGATCGTGGGTAGGGTATTAATACCAGCATTGTTCAGGATAAATTCTCACCACATACAGTATAAAACTCTCCTACGTATATCCTCTGATGACACAACAGACACCCAATATTACTGTCAGTGAACCCCCGTTATTAAGGAGGAAAATGAAACCTCAGTTTCTCCACAGTTCTGTGTCGGATGCCATATATGCACAGGTATGTATGCAACTTGAGGTGGCAGGGCAGGGTTTCTATTTGTGTATCACATTGCTATATATGCCCAGAGAGACTTCCTCAGTTGAATGAAGGGTGCAGTGTCAGGAATCGCTTGCTTGTTTTCACAGTTAGAGAGCTGCACCAAGGGGTCCCCGAGCACTACTGCACACATTCACACAAATATACACACATCTGTATGTATGTACGTGCAGAACCTTTAAGTGCAAGCTAGACTTATGAGGAAGACAGAGTCTTTCACTAAACACACTTTCAGATTACACTGTAAGGCAGTACATTATAGTTGGTCTGACAACACTCACCATCTTTGTTTTGTCAACTTCCAGGAACTAAGCGGAACAAAAACCTCCTGAGAGCACCAACTTTTAGTCTACACATACACACACACTTACACGACTGCCACTAACGCAGGACTGTTGCGGCCTCAACTGAGTACCCAACGGTCAAAGCCCCGGTATTTGTAGTACACACTGCACACATGCTCGCAATGCCCACCACTGTTAGTAGCAGCTGTTATGAAAACTTATACATCTCGAGCATGTCTCCCCCTAGTCTTTGCATGCACACAGAATCCCCGGTCACCTTACACGGCCTATTACTAGATCACGATGGCGTCTATACAGGTTCCTTATTACTATGACTCACCCCTACACACTGAAACTCGATCTAACCACTAGATACACTGAGGTGTACATTGTAAATGGACGTACATGCATTACTCATACAGTTTCAAGTGTGACTCAGGGACACCCACAGAGCGTTGGTATGACAAGTCAGCATGCTATACGCAAGGTTCAAGAAGTGTACAAAAGGGCCTGTGGCACAGGCATAGAATGACAAAGGAACGCACATAGAAGAAACCTAAGACGTGCTCACAATAAATTGAGAGTCATTCTAGTGGCCCCTTCGCTCACGTCTCTATACAGTACGTATTCATACGCTGCATATTTCACACCCCCTCCTGCTTCATCGTACAAGGCAACAAACAAAACACACCAGGGAGACAAGGAGACACGCGCGCCAGCAGTGCCCAGATCGTCTAGAAGGCGCGTAGCCTTCTTTCCCACCGTCCCATCCCAGCAGTATGGTTCGGCCAGTGTAGCCCATGCCCACTCACCGGGTCGACTTCCTGGACGGTGGCCAGGCCTGGCGTTCGCGCGGCTGAAGGTAAAGACGCCATCGTCCTTTGTAGCAGGCACGAGAGTGAAGAGACAGACGGGAGTCAGTGTTCTGTTCGCTTGTGTGACTAGTGTCCACTGTCACACCGCGGCGCCGGGGGAGACGGTCGGGGTATGTAGGGAGGCGTTCAATTTCTAACTGACCTACTCACACTAGGCACCTATGAGTGACACTATCCTCGATCGTGGATCGTCAGACCCTTTCAGAGTACGGGAGGGCCCTCTTATCACGTACACTGCACCGACTTTTGGACTATTCTCTACTCGTCTCGCACTCCACTTCTGCCATGTTTTCTAAAACCTACGTGACGTCACTTCTAAATCACGTGTCTTTTTCGGACCCCGCCCTCAGGCGCTTATCCCCCCCGGCCCCCCGTGTTTAATTAACCGCCCATTTTTATTGAGCATGCGCATAAAATTTGAAACGAGAGTGTGTGCGCCGGTGGCGGGCAACGAGTCTCGAACGAAGAAGAGGAAGATGGACACAAAAAACAAGAGGTTAGGACTGTACGAACAGAGTCAGCCATCACTTGTTTTGTAATCTCTTTCTTAGAGTGTTGGGACAGTCTGCAGTTCATGGTTCTTCAAAATCTTCAATAGTCAAACTTGACGCTAATGTACGCGGTACCAGCTACTCTCAGATGAAACATAGGTTCTCTATTTGCTAGAGGGGCTGATACCGAGACTGGATTTAGATATTTTCGTTCCCCTTCACTTATTTGTATTACGTTTTAGGACTCTTAGGGAGTATATACTTACTGTCTGTGTTGTGTATCTCTGTGCAGTCTGAGAGAAATGCAGCGTTCTACAGTCAAGAGGGGGTTGTCACACGCTATCCCAAGACTGCCGTGTACCCCAGGGAGGGAGGGGAGATACAACTGGAAAAGCTCAGAGCATGGCTCCCCAAATACCGTCCTGATGTGAGTCAGTTGTCGGCGATATTGAACTACTGCATGTGTCCTTGTGGTCAAATGCCAACGAGGTATATACATATAAAAGCTGCGGAAAAGCAATGCCACCCAAGAAAGCCCTACTTCCAAGAAAAAAAGAGCTGCCCTGGGTTGAAATCAAACCCATGAAAAGTATATTTAGAGCATACTAGCCACAGAGAATAGAAAAGAAAAGAAAGAAAACTAGAAGTCACCCTCCACCCAAGTACACAAACAACACAGTTGCACGCAACAAGGTAGGACACCAGGTGCCCAGCCTTGAGAACTGGGACTGTGGGTTAAAATACATATATACCTACTAGCACCATGTTACCCCGGCTCTCCTACTCATACAATATGACGTAATTGTGCTGCTCTATCTATAACTTGCTGCTGGTAATACTTTACTAAGGCACCTGGCGATGAAATGTTATTCCAGAGTCAGTTATTGTGTCTGAATTACAGTGGATGGCACGACCTTGGTGTTTTTTTTCTGTACTCAGGATTTGGCTGGAGACAATATGGAAACATCTAATATGGAAATGACCATGGCGTGCACCACCAATATCACCATCCTGCCTGGCCTCATGGACAGAGGCCCCCAGAACAAGGAGAATACTTCTGGTATTACTATATACACAAACAAGAATTTCCGACTGTACTTTTTCACAAACAACTTTAAAAAATCGCGCGAGTTTTGTTTCAGTGCAGGAAAGTAGAGTACATTACTATTCCATACTCCAACTGTAGTCAGAGTATTAAGGATAGTTGGTTTGTTTCTTCTTCAATTCATGTGCCTACAAAAGGTGCAAAACCGTTGGCACCGTTGGGGGATTGGTAAAGGGACAGTGAAATAGAGGAGAGATAGGGATTGGTACAACGATTATCAGTTGGCTACATTCAAACATTGTTTTCCGCAAAACGTTGGTTCTATTCACTCAGGAAAAAATTTAATTCCAGGGTGTCGTTGAGTTTGCCCTCCCTAGTCACCTTTACACATGTGCAAACATTAGGCTGTTTGTTGTGGCTCACAGCTGTCCCCAGACAGACTAAGGGTTTTGGGACTCGCCAGCCCCTCAAAGATGTGCTGATGGCATTCCTCCCATCTGGACACTCACCGCCGGATGAGAAGCTGGGTCGGCTGTGTGAGGAGATGGGGGGAGAAGTGAGGAGGAGGGGGAGGGTGAGGGAGGAGGAGGAGGAGGACAGTGGGGAGTTCATTAGTGAACTGTTGGATGACATGATGCTCCAGCAGTCAGCAGAGAGGCAGATGGAGAGACAGAAGAGCAAGTGAGACCCCCAGTTACAGTTGCATTAATAAATTACAGTGCATGGTGCACCTGCTCATTATGTAAGACTACCGTCAGAGATTAAATCAGAGCACAGTATTGTAACTTTTTAAAGGGCCCTGTGTTACTTGCCTTACCCGATCATATATTTCTACTGCATGTACACATACAGGTAACATAGGTAATGTCAGTGTCTTGAAATGTGTATTAAAGAGCGTGGGTTATATGGCTCTGGTGCCACCATATTGCCTCAGTGGTGTGATGGCTTCATTGTGTACAGTGTTGCTGGAGGTGTGACAGGTGTGAGAGACAAGAAGCAGGTCCCTGTCCCACAGAACCTTCCCCCGGACCTGGAGATCCTTGTCAACCAGGAAAACTGCCAGCCACTACCCTCTGTCCGACCCAACGTCAGGTGTGTCCCCTGCAAAATGAGGAGCCATGTCTCTCCCAAGCTTATACCCCAGTATACGCACATTTCTAAGTGAAATCTGTTTGTACTACAGCCGTATACTCTTGTACTGTGCGTTCATCTCCACACACAGCGGACGAGGCTGTATTACACGACTGAATTTCAGTGATGCGGAGAGCTCACTCGGTACCAGTCAGCTCAACAGTCTCACGGAGGACTCTGTCGGTGGCAGAAGCTCTTTCCTTGCCCATAGTCAGGTCAGCCTTACTGTATAATCAATTACTGTATGTAAACACTGTTTAAAACCATAGTCCAAATCTCACCAGCTTGTTTACTATGCCGGTATCTGCATTCGGCTTGCTGAGTTTAATGTTTAACTGAAGGATAAGAATACTCCATATCACAGCCCCATTGCTAGTAGCTACACCGTGCCTATCCCGTAAACCAAGTACCGTTACTGTACTTGGTGACGATACTTTGTTGGTTGCGTGTGCAGGTGCGTGTCCATGAGCAGTCGGGGGCAGGAGGGCAGTCATTTGAGGTGTTCCACGACTCCTGGAGAAACCAGTCTCACAACGCCAGCTATGGCAGACCCGACAAACTACAGCCAGCACCTCCCAGACAGAAATCACTCATTGAGAGAAAGTCAGCTAAAATCCATGTTTATGTACATAATTGTGTATTCTATGGCAGTACCATGTGTATAATACCCAGAAGATAGTTGTTACATTTGAAGGGTAGAAATGTATGCCATTGCCTAAGAGATGACAGAAATTTTGTAACGGTGAAAAGTTGGAATTGAGAACTACATACATATTAACTCTAATGAAGCTCCAAATGGACATGCAGTAAATTGTTTCTCGTGAAATTCAAGCTTGAGTCACAAATGTCTTCTCCCCTAATTAAATAACGGCATTCTCTTCTGTTCCTCCAGGGCAGGAGCTGAGGCCTGCAGCCTGGCTGAGTCCTACCAGTCGTACGACCAGTCCCAGTCCTTCCAGGCCGCCGTCTCAAAGGGCAACATGAGCTCCTTCAGCATCTACGAGGACACTGCGGGCGAGCAGTCGAGTATCGCCCCCTTTCACGACTCGTGGGCCAACTCCTCGAAAGATGGAGGAGGAGCGGCCAGCAGTAGGGTAGGTGTTGGTACTCGTGGAGTCGTTGAGCTCAAGGTGTCGTCGACTGAGTCTGGCCGGGAGAGGGATGGTGGGGTGGTGTACCACGCTGCTCTCGGGGTACCCCTGGAGGGAGTTGGGGGAGGGGTCAAGATGGGCGGTGGGGTAAACTGTAGCCTCGTTGACCAGAGCTTCACTCAGGTTGGCATCCCTCACCCCAAGATAGCTCCCAGCATCTCAACCCCTGTCGGCAAGAACATGGGTTAGTGGACTCCCACACAATACTGTGTAGCAGGAAGATAGGTATTGCTGCATTCACAGATTTTAAAAATACAACTGTGGGCTGGGACTGTTTTACTTTCTCTCCAAAACTCACACTTGCCACCACATCACAAAGCTCTCTCTATACAGTCTAACGTTTCCCACTATAGGCTGCTCCTGGGGTGGGTGTCTTGATCATGCGGTAGTTTGTAGCTCCTGTAATGTACACACACTGTAAAGTGGAGGAGTCACGTGGAGGGTAAAACTCAATGGACACTTTCTTTGCTTGATCTTTCTGCAGATTTCACATTTGACATGTCACGTATCCAGTCAGAGACAGAGTTCCTACCCCGGACTACCAACTACCACTGCCAGCACCAACAGCATGGGGAGCAGCAGGAGCCACTAGAGACGGCAGGTGGTGGGGCAGTGGGAGCAGTCGGCGGCCCGCAGCGCAAGCGGAGCTGCATCCTGGGAACCATGAACCTCAGCACCATCCGGGAGGAGTCGTCCAGTTTCAAGAGCAGTCGCAGTAGTACCACCACCGGGACCATCAGCAGCTCCTCGGGCAGCAGTGTCAGTCACGAGAGCCTCGGCCCCGGATTCCCGCCCCATGAGGTCAACATTAACCCCTTCTCCTCCGAGATTGTCAATATGATGCTGAATGCGATGAGTCCGAGTGTGGTGGAGGAGGCGGTGTTTCCTCTCCCCGCTGGGTCCCGTCTCCCTCAGCTGGCCTCCGGTAGGACGGTGATGCTGGGTCACAGGGAGTTCACCGGGCTCAAGAAGATTGCCAGTGGAGGGTTCGGTACCGTCTACTCCTGCAAGGACCAGGGTGACACCAAAGTTTTGAAGGTATGTATAATATACATGTTTCACCGAAGAATTTACTGATGTGTTCACATAATGTACTTGTGACTCTGAGATGAGGGATTTGATATGGGCAGATTCTGGAGCCGTTATGATTTTGTTCTTTTGTCATGGCTCACTTCCAGATTGGTTAATTGAACTACATACAATAATAGTCCAAAAAGACTTGTGTGAATTTGTGCAGGTGCAAAAGCCTGCAATGCAGTGGGAGACTGTCGTCGTATCAGAGCTCCACATCAGACTAAAGACATCGGGCCTCCCTGTACAAGTGAGTAATATGTACATATACATGTTCTATGCATTGCAACTCTCGGGTATACAATACCATGAACTGGCATCATCGTGTGTGCTTTTGTATGTGATCTTTGTTTTGCAGTCTTTTGTGAATGCTGAGCAGACATTCGTGTATAACGATGCATCTGTCATGGTTCTACCTCACTACAAACACGGGTCTCTGCTGGTACGTACACAGTACTGTAGTGCCACCCTGTATTTTACTACTATAGCACTAACGTGGATGGATTTTAACCAGGAAACAAAGGAAAGAAGGCTGGCTAAATACTTGCCATACTATGTCTCAAGACCATTCCATGGAACACTCAAACACCATGCATGGCAATAGGGTGGGGGGCACTGTGCTACATGTACATACTTCTTTAGTTTAATCCCTGCATGATTAGCTATACATACACGTGTACAATTCTGGCTGTAGGACCTGGCCAATGCTCACGGAGCAGGTCTGTACGACCTGTTCCAGTACTACTACACAGCAGAGGTGCTGGAGATAGTGGCTCACCTCCACCACTGCGGCATCCTGCACACCGACCTCAAACCTGACAACTTCATGCTCACCGACCTCAGGTGGGCACTAAATAGAACACCTCACCTTAAGACGTCCTATGTAAGGATTAACCTACACAAGTCAACCCCTCTATACATATATACAGTTCGGATTAGAAAACAGATAATTATTATGTCTAGCTGAATTTGTTATAGCACATTCATGTGTACAGATACACACCTCGTGTGTTTACTTCCGTCTGTACGCTGACCTTAATTTTCTCAGTGGCCACAAGAACTTTGTGTCGGCAGCTGGGAGTGGTCTGGTGTTGATAGACTTTGGCCGAGCGGTGGATCTGGCTGTGTTCCCTGGAGACACTCTGTTTCACGGATCCTCCAACACCGACGGATTCCAGTGCACTCAGATGCTCGAAGGGAAACCCTGGAAATATGAGGTGCTGTAGTGTGCGTATGTGACATCGACTGGAATGAAACAATGTGATATTTTTGTAGTGTGTACTGCACTGGTGCAGTGCAGAAAAGGATATTTGTTTGCGGGGCTGTGCATCTTTATTGCCGTGTGCAAAAACCCATGTGGGATGTGTGTGTTTGTGTGTGTGTGTCTTTTCTTTTGCAGGCAGACTACTTTGGTATTGCTGGGACAGTGCATGTACTGTTGACTGGGGAGTACATGTCAGTTCAGAGAAACCCTGGAAACGGACTGTACCATCCTTCCAAGCCATTCCCCAGGTATTTCATTCCCCGTACTGCATTATTGATACTACGGTGTATGCGCGTGTGTGTGGCATGCTAAGTCATTGCGTGTACCATTAATTTGAAGCATGCAGCTATACCCAAGCTATAACTCTGAAAATCCCTCAGGGCCCGGCGCAGCACTCCATGGAGTGAGTTCTTTGGCTGTCTACTAAACACAACCCAGCCTCTACCACTGGCTGAGATGGCTGGGGATATGAGGACCAAGCTGAAAGGCATCGACGGCTATGTGTTCCAGGCCTTCTCCAAGAACGTTTTCACTGCTGTTCACAAGATACTCAATCAAGGAAAATGACAGGCCATTGATTTGTTTGTGTCTCTTCCATCCATGTTTGTCTACTATTTCTACTTTGGGCGCACACATGTGGAGCGTACGCTGTGAATGTGCGCATGCGCGTATCCTAGTGTTCACTGATGTTGTTTTCAGCGCGCAGCATCTCTAGACGGACATCGTCGCGTCATGTCGCGGACTAAACTACCCGAAATAAAGTACCAGCCTTTGCCGAGATTTCTGCACATCTCGCAGTGTTTGGCGGGCGGGACGGTGGTGGTACAGGGCGGACTGACGAAGCATTCGTCCCAGGAGAGCAGGGAAAAGTTTACGGCCGTCGTAGAGGTTCTGGAGCTCCTCTCCGAGACCTGGGAGCAGAAGAAAGTGTCGGGACATGCCCCGCCGCCGGGGACGCAGTCTGCGGCCTCCGCCTCGCTCGGTGGCGACCTGTTCACGTTCGGAGGTTGGGACAGGGCGCAGCACCTGAGCACGCTGCGGCGGTTGGACTCTGAGACTCTCGTGTGGTCCATAGTCTCACCTTGGGACTCGCCGGGAGCCCCTACGCCAAAGTGCGGCTGTGGGATGGTTGCATTCGGAGCGGAGAATCTAGGGATCTTCGGTGGTAAAAATATAGGAATCTCCAAGTGGTTGAATGAATTTCACTTGTACAATTTGAGAGATGGTAAGTTTATCCTGTTGCCCTCAGAAGATCTACTTTCTACATACTGAAATTCCCTTATATAGGAACCTGGAGTTGCCCAATGACGACTGGCAATGTCCCTCCTCCTTGCTCTGACCTCACCTTCACTGCAGTGGACAGCCGACGGGCCGTCCTGTTTGGAGGTTGGAATGACCAGCAGGACCACATGACCGATGTGTACATTATCGACATTGCCACCATGGTGTGTAGTATCTTAAAAACATCTCCTCTTTAAAAATCTTAGATAAGCATGCCTTTTGGATTTGGAAGAAATCAGTCACACTAACGTTGGAGCCCCTAAAATAACATCAAGAACGTGTGCACACCATTAAAGGCAAAACATCCAAGCTGTATCAGAGTGTTCCGCTATATTATGTGTGACAAAACACATGATTAGCCATGCAGTGTATGGGTGTGCATGCTCATTTCAGCACTGCAGGTTCTGCACTCACCGGGTGACTTCCATGTGTATGCATAATTATCCCATGGGAGAAAAACCGGGAGCATACCTCAACTTGGTGGGTGGCAAGGGTGTGCCACATTAACGTGCCTTCTCTTATTAAAATGGATGTTTTGCATAAGAGAGCTGTAATGGTGTGCACACTGCACCATCTTGTCTCTCCAGAAGTGGAGCAAAGTCAGCAGAGCCGGAGATGATCCGTGGCCAGAGGAACGAGCCTCGGCTGCAGCTTGTTGCCTCAACTATGACCAGAAGAACCCTCAACTCCTGGTCACAGGAGGAGTCAACAAACAGAAACAGCCACTGAGAGATGCCTGGGTTCTCGATGTGGACAAGACTACCTGGAGAAAGGTGAGACTGCCTTCTTTTGCTGCATAGCAAATTTATCACAATATTTTGATAGGAGAAACACTAATAAATTCTGGTTATTCACACATTTGGAATGACATCCAACACCCAGAATGATCATACAGCTGATAGTATACAGAAGAATCCACTGTTGCATCTCTATCTTTTAGGAGGAAGTGTCTCTGGAGCCCTGCTGGGGGCACACACTCAATGCCTGCCACCTGGCTCCAGGACTAGCTGAGGTGACCATGTTTGGAGGCTCTCGGAAACCTCGGGGCTCAGACAAGAAAAAACTGACTGGCACAACTCTACTACTGTACAGTAAGTGGGTCTTCTTTGCATCGAACCTAATACTTATCTTACCTCATTATCCAGGACTGGTTGAGTCTGGATGGACGCTGCACTCGACAGCAGAGAGCTCCCAGCTTTCATCCCAGCAGAGAGTTGTGGATAAGATCCGGTTCGTGGCTGCAGCGGAGGTTCAAAGGGCAGATTGTAAGACGATCATGGCTGAAGGAGAGAGAGACAGGATAAAAGAAGAAAAGAGGTTGGCATTAGAGCGAATGGGAGAACTGGAGGGGGAGAGGGATAGAGCAAGGGAAGAAAAGACGGAGGCATTGGAGCGAATACGGGTTCTGGAAGGTGAGAGGGACAGAGAGCGTGAGGAAAAGAGGGCGGCGTTGGAGCGAGTGCGGGTTGTGGAGGGGGAGAGGGACAGGGAACTGGCAGAGAAGTTGGCAGCATTGGAGAGAGTAAGGATTCTGGAGGGGGAGAGGGACAGGGAACGACAGGGGAAGCGGGTGGCATTGGAGCGGGTGCGGGTTGTGGAAGGCGAGAGGGACAGGGAGCGGGCAGAAAAGAGGGCAGCATTGCAGCGAGCGCAGTCTGTAGAGGAGGACAGGAACAAGGAACGGAAGGACAAGAAAACAGCAGTGGAAATGGTGCGAGTGTTGGGGAGTGAAGGGACTGGGAAACAGGAGGCCGAGCAAATAATGACGACGATGCATAGGGAAAAGACCAGGGTCGAATCTGAGAGGGACAGGGCTAGGGTTGAACTCAGGCAGGCGCAGGCAAGGGTCACTGAGCTGCAGCGGAGGCTGAACATACCGCAACAGAGGGAGCACGAGAGCCAGGTGGTGCGAGAGCAGGCTGCTACAGCCGAACGCCGCGGTCCGTCGTGGGTGGTGAGACCTGACGAACTGGAGTTGACCGAGGAAGAGATTGGCTGCGGTGGGTGGGGGAAGGTGAAGGTAGCCAAGCTCAAGGTGGCAGCAAAGGTTCTGCACGGACAGCTCACCTACGACTACTACCAGCAGCAATTCAGGCGAGAGATGGATGTAGCAGCACGGATCCGCCACCCTAACCTTCTTCGTTTCCTCGGAGCACGTCTTGAGGGAGGTATGGTCATCCTGACAGAGCTCATGCCGACCAGTCTAAGAACTCTTGTCAACAGACGTCCAAAACAGCGCCTGCCAAAGGAGCACCTTCTCTCTATCGCAACCGACATTGCCTGTGCCCTTAACTACCTCCACAACATGACCCCCGACCCCATCATCCACAGGGACCTCAGCAGTTCCAACGTTCTCCTCCAGCCCTCTCCCAGCGGGGGCTGGCTGGCCAAGGTCTCTGACTACGGCTCGGCTAACTTCCAGAGCCAGTTGCACACGGTGTACCCTGGCTCCCCTGTCTACACTGCCCCAGAGGCCCACAACCCTACCCTCCAGTCACCCAAGATGGACATTTACAGTTTTGGTGTGCTCCTGATAGAAGTTTGGACCTGCGACTTGCCCGCCCCCGACAATCGCATTCGGCTGATTGCGTCAATCAACCTACAGACGATGGTGAACCTCATTCACCAGTGTATGTATGAAGACAAAGAAAAACGTCCGACTGCCGCTCAACTCGTGGACCTCCTGAAGGCCATGTATTAGCACATGCACTCAATAAATTAATGTTAGGAGTAGAGTAGCTCCAAATGCACATCTAGTATTATACTTGATATTGACTTCATTACTATGTAGCCAAGTATATACAGTGTTTGGCGAACGAAGTGATCCTGCAGTAGGTAGATTAATATCCATAAAGTGTGAAGCTGTGGGGCTGCATTTCCAGAAAGCAGCTGGTACTGGCAGTATATATGTAAATCTATCCCACATCTCAGTAAGAATTGTCTCTATCACTATAATTATAGTTCGCATTGAAGCATACCTAGCTACATTGATTGGCAAAATTTTTACACAAAAATTCATGACGAGACTTTGTATTATCACTTCTACTGATAACAATTTATTGTTTGCAACTTGCATGGTCATTGCGTTGCTACAAATGAAGTGTTGAGTAACCTCCACATCTCTCCTGACCTGACGTACCTTAAAAAACTATTTTGGATAAGCAGTAAGTGAAGTCAGTATACTCAGACAAAGCCAGCTCCAGTTTTTCCTAGCTGTTATGTGAGTTGAGATATTTAATCCACATACATGGTGAGGTGAGTTAAATGAAGGTTAATGGTACATTAACCGAGCGAACTGGCGGCGCCCGCCGCGGGAGCTAGGAGCATGCGCAGTCAAAAGGGGAGGCCTACTGATAATAAAGTTGCATGCAACACACTGATTCATGTTCCAAACATGACCCAGCAATTCCTAGGGCTGTGAACCCAGGAAAGCACACACACACATCAATACAAACACATAGAAATACCTGCCAGAGTATGGCATAAAGAAACATGCGCAAGAGTATGGTATAACAAATATTCATTGTAGTGAGTATTATAATACATTCGGAAGAAACAAAAGTGTAATTATAATGTTGGAGTGTCCAAAATAGCTTTGATGATAACTTTGAGTCTACAACTGAGGTGTTCTTCAGAGTCAATCAGTTAGCTAATGCTCTGATATGGATCTTCTTCCTCGTCAGGACTGGAGAACAGAGTGGACGGCACTTGAGACTCCACGTCTTCAAAGTCAGAGAAAGAAGTAGACGTGTGTGATCTTGTCCGCACGTCTGTGCTAACTTCCCCCAGGATGTAGGCCTCGTTTCTGTTGACAATCACTTCGTTGTTGGATCTTTACAGAATAAAAGTACAGTACAGTGAAACCTCTGAATAGGGCCCTTCAGACAAAGGACACCTCTCTGTAAGAGATCGCTATAGAGGACATGTTGTTAGTGTATTAATCTACCACAGAATCGAGGACACGTCTGAATAAAGGACACTTTCAATGTCCCCAAGGCGCCCGCCCCTTATTGAGAGGTTTCACACACCCCCCAGTTGAGTCATAAGAGACAACTAATTGTCTTACTCTGGCTGCTTTTTCCACTGCCTTCTCCTGATAATCACCACAGTCAGGACAGTTAGAGAGAGTATTGTCACCGCCACTAGTCCTGTAGCAACACCTGTGAGAATAACAACACCTCTTTCTGGAGAAACAAACGGCTCTGGACCACAAGTCTCTTCTGTAGTTGGTCCTGTCATAGACAAGTTAGACTGTGACACAGAGCACGCTGTGTTACTACTGAACATACTCACCAAACTTGATAGAAATAGTGTCGCTGTTGGTTGCGTTGTGGAGAGTGTTTTCAACGCCTGAAACTTGCACACTGCACACAAACTCCCCACTGTCTTCACTCTCCACTAGACCACTGGTGCTGAGGAAAGATATGTACATTCCCTGGCCACACTGGCTCAGTGGAGTAACAGTGTCGCGATCTCCTGGTACGATCCTATCCGGACCACTCCATGTAGAGACTATGCTCTGTACGGCATCAATGTCCCTGTTCTGAGGTATGATCACTAGACACGTGAGGGTCAGAGAATCTTCCGGAAGGAGAGGGTCAGTTGTGTTCACAGAAATTACCACTTTTGGCTCAGGTACTGGAGAGATAAAAGGCTTGAAAACAAGCGATGCTAAATGGCATAGGTATGTACCTATTGGGAAAACAGTCAGGTTCATAGTGCTGTTGCCATTTCCAAGAGGGTTGTCACTAGCATCAAAGATGGAGGAAAGGCATGTATAGAGTCCAGAGTCTGATGTGCTGAGGGGGCGCTCTGGTTCATATAGAAGATTGCCGCCTAGTCCATCATCCACAAGTTCACCAGCTGGGTCCCTCAGGCGCACAACAATGATTGTTTCCACGTCCTTCAAGTAATCTGCTACTGCCACGTTACACTTCAGGACAAACTGACTTCCAGCAACAGTAGTGAAACTCTCTGTAACGGACACCACTGAATGTGGATGAAAAGAAGTGTTTGCATTCTTGAGCAGTGGTCTGAGTACACATTGTAGCTAGCTACCTAGTGCTGGACCACGGGTGGCTGTGGGTAGCAGGAAACTGCTGGAGGCATAGACTGCATACTGTCTGGTGCTTTCAGATCTTCTGACAACATCACCCTCCTGAATAGTATGGTTGATATCATAATTATTTTCCTGTATGCTCACATTAATTGCATACACTAACAGAGGAAGGTGGGATGGCTGGAAGGAAGCCCCAGACAAACACAGAATAGTTGGTTAGCTGCAGTAATGGTCCGTTTCTGTAGAGCTCGGGGAAATCATTGACGTTCCTTGTCTTATTCTCGTCCCCCACAACAAACACTCGAGACGATAGTGCACTGTACCCAGAAGAGGATATCTCAGATGCAATATAAGGAGTGTCCTCGGCCAGTTCTGTATTGATATAATGTACAAGAGAGTGTGTTAGCACTGAGAATGACAGACACACAAAAGTGGTAGTTCTAGAGAAACCTGTAGAATAGCTTCCAAAGGAGCTGTTGTCTGGGAACATTTGAGTTGGTGCTTCCATCAAGAAAGGTGCCTCTGGATCACTCAGTTTGACAACAATCACCCAGAAATGACTGCAGTGATGAGTAGCTATCACACCAACAACACATCGATGATAGTGTGTGTACCTGAACAGTGAAGAGTTCACAGGGGGGAGAAGGACAGGGATAGTGGTCATTGAGACCATGGGGATCATTGGGAGTGTGAGTGGTACACTGTCCAGGGGTGGGGGGAGTGGGTATGTCCTTTGCACCACGGGTGCGCTGGAGGGACCGAGACTGACCGTCTCAGCTGCCACTGTAAACTGGTAGGTAGTGTCGGGATCAAGGTCGTCCAGCAATGCCTCTGTTTCATTGGTCGTCCGGTTCACAGAGCTGGAGAGGTTGGTCAGGGAGTAGTAGCTTATGATGTAATGAGTGATGACACCATTCCATGTATCAGGAGGTGGGGCCGCCCACGAGAGGTGAATGCTGCTTGTGTCAACTGCCACGGCAACTACATTAGTCGGTGGAGCATCTGGAGCTGTAGGATCAAGAGTACATGTCATGTGATGTGTACATGCAGATGAGAACCTACTGTCTTGCAGTGTTGTGAAGTTTAGCACCCTAGTAGTGCCTCCAGCCCTGTTTTCAGCAGTCAGACTCATAATGTATGCAGAGAATGGACGTAGTGATTCTATAGTGTAGACTGTTTCGTTCATGGAAGAAGGTATTATGGTGACCGTGGTTGAGTTGAATGTATCTTCCTCTGTGACCTCAAGCATGAAGGAGAAGAGAGGGAGAAGGGAGAAGGAAAACCACTCGACAGTGACTCCACGTGCTGCTGGTATCACTGAGAGATCAGGAATGATAGGAGGACCTAAGAAAAGGGATGATAATCTCCATCAATGCATGGTAGAAGCATGTAACAGCCGATAGCTCCATTTCTTGCCATTGTCATGATAACCTACCAGCAATAAGAAGACTGGCAGAACTGCTGGGGAGTGTCCCTGCGATGTTGGAGACCATGCAGTGGACCATGGTCTGGTTGAGATCCAGCATTGCCTGGAACTGAAAAGAGCACTCCATCATCTCTACCTCACCCACTGGCTCCAGTAGTGTGCAGGATGTGACAGGTAAGTCTGGGAGTGGTGACCAGCTCCATAGGATGGTGGGTGCCGGCAGACCCACGGCAGCACAGGTGAACATTGCAGTCTCCTGGTCTAACACCACAGCATTCTCAACCTCCAGTGTAATAGTGGGACTGACTGCATGTAGAGACAGAAGAACACTAAAGATCTTTCATGTTAGAGGTAAACTCACTGGCAGGTGTAACTATGGCTAAGTCGCTGTTGGTGGTGTTGAAATCGTTTTTCCCTTGGCAAAAGTAACTCGTGAAGTTAGACTCCCCAATAAGCGATAGACTCAGGGTGCTCCTACTCTCACTGTGCCTAATCCCCTGTTCGTCTGTTATCGAGACTCCACCAACATCGTGTACCAGTTGAACCTCCTCTCCGTTCTGGATCTGAAACCAGGTGATGAATGGCTTGGGAATGGCACCAGCTGTGCAGGACATCGAGGTGGAGTTGCCAACCACAAGAGGGTCAGTGGACTGAGGCCCTTCAATGATCTCCACTGGCGCTGGGGGAGGGGAGAGTGTTAAAGTGCTTGGTTGCTATGAAAACTGAACAACGTGTTCTTCTACGTGCATGCCTCTGTAGATGTTTAGGTCTTTGTTAAACTTGCTCTCAAAATGAAAGAGAGTGTGTTGTGTGTGTGTGTTGCTCACAGTAGGCAGTGATGACAATAGTAGTTCCCTCTACTGTTCCCATGAAAGTTGCTGAGCAGGTTATCCCTACTGTCCCCTCCAGATCCTCAATCGACACATTCAGCACTGATACTGCTGGCTCCCTACAGTGTTATATAGACATTTTGTGTCCATGAAAAGCCCCCAGCATTTCCCCATACAACTAAACTTCCATTGGTAGACACTAACACATCTATCACCGTTGGGTCCCTGTGTCACACAAGGTGAGTCCAGGGTAGCTAATGCACCCTGAAGTCTGCTCTTAACCAACACGGCTTTATCACGACTATGTTTTGTTTCGCATTGCCTACACTGCAAACCTGAGTCCAGAAATGCTCTGGGCACCAGTGGAATCCTTGCCGTCACCCCTGGACCAGGATATGGAGGCAGTTGGGTGAGACTCGATGCGGCATGTCAGCTGAATAGCTGCTGGTCGATCTGGACTATTGTGGAGGAATATTAGCTCATTCTCTACTCCCTCGTTGTCATAGATAATCACAGGAGGTCCCCGAACTATGTGTGGGAGAAAACGCAGTATGCAGCAAGCATACAGTGGCAAGAGAGGATGACTCAGTTTTGCAGTGCAAAAGGCTGTTGCCTCACATTGGATATTGAGGTAGGTGGTGGAGACGATTGCAGTCCTAGCATCATCTCCCACTTGTCCTATGCACTGGTATACTCCATGGTCTGTCAGAGACAGCTGTTCAATCCTCAGCACCCGACGAACACAGGCACTGTCGTAAGAAACAAAGAGCTCTTAGATTCATATGAAGCTGTGCATATTCCAGGCTTGCCTGCAAGTGGGCTCAGGTGTCTCGATTGATACTCGTGGTGAGGTGGAGACTAGGGTGTTGTTGAAGAGAAAGGACACACTAGCCAGCAGACTGCCACTGACTTCACAGACAAGGAGGACAGGAGAGGTGTCTGAGTTAAAGTCCCTCACCACCTCCCCTTGTAGCTCTTCTTCAAACTGGAGTGAAGCTGAGCCTACCACAACAAGGAATCATGTAGCTATATACCAATATGGAAAACAACAATCATTAATTTGGCTTTCCCCACTTGTGGGACTAGGGAATTTCACCAAGGGAAAGGCCTTGACCAAGGTGGTCATGCACTGACCTGCAAGGTAAACACCAGTGAGATTTCGTTGGTGCTAGGTACTAACTGATACTGTGAAGCCTGACTACAGTAATACAATGTGATCCCTTTTATTACCCTCGGCCTTGACCAAGGTGCACCAGTGAGATTTGGTTGGTACTAGGTACTAACTGATACTGTGAAGCCTGACTAATGTAATCCCCCTTATTATGTCTGTTGTCAGAAACAAGCACATAGTTAAACACACCAGAATAAGGCAGGCTATGAAGCTGATATACCTGTTTCTCCCTCTCCAATGATGACACTGGGACTTCTGAACGATCCTCTGGCAGATTCAATCTCACAGTATCCATAGCCCATGTCACCTCCGTCAGTTATGACTGTAGCCACTGTGGTGGTGGGGAGGTCAGGAAGGAGGGAGGTGCAGAGGGGAGCCAAGCTATCAGCAGAATATATGGCGGTTGGAAACACTCCAGTGAAGAACAGACTTTCCACTGGAAAAGAGAGCAAGCTAAACATACATCTTTGGTAGACATGGTGGTTTACCAGGTCTGAGAGCAACCCGTGCTGCGTGATTGTTTTGGAAGCACAGAAGAGAGATCACGTTCTCCTCCAGGTTGTCTGGGTCTTGGAGATAGTCTGATAATATGTGCAGGCGTCCAGTTTCGGTGCCGTACGAAGTGGTGGTTGGATCAAAAGGAGTTGGAAAAGTCGAAAAGGTCGGAAGTCTTCGGAACCACGAGGTAGTCCCACCCCCAGTACAGAGAAGAGACACAAGGACGTCAGTGGCATTCCCGACAGAGAGCTCAGCCGTATCCGGCAAAGTCTCCCCCGTCTCTAACAGGACTATCTCATTAGCCTCTGCCCAGAGATCTACTGTAACAGTTTCACAAAGATGAACACTCTGCTCTTACAATTCTACCAGTTTACCTGACACAGCTAGCAGACCAATCAATACCATCCACATGTTTCTTTTGCAGACTCCGGCAGACATGGTTACTCCCCGCTCTAGCATGCAGTAGTTAATGCTGTAAACCAGCCGCTGCTTTTATAGAGTCTAAGTCTGTGCTTGTGAATGTTGACTGTGTGCTTCTGTGTCCAGTGAGAAACCTACCACGGAGGGGACTAAGGCAATAAGTAATATGTGCATTATTTGCGGGAGTCTCCCATACCACACTTGTCTATAGTAGCTAGGCATGGACTCCGTTTCTCTGGCTTAAAGGCAAAGTGTCTGCATAATCGTATGCCGGGTGTGGTTGACTTTATGCGGAGCTCTTGTGCATACATCTTATACATTGCAAATGTAGCGCACAGCTGCAGGCTTTGTTACTGAGGGTTAACCATACAATTTTGTCATGGCATGCGCAATATATCACAAAGCAAAGGCTTATACCATATTATTATTATACAACAACACATTGCAATAAGGACAAAGCATTAGTTTTGCTCAAAGCGCAAGACACGTGCATCGGTTGTAGCTCTGACAATAACAAGAGAGTTTTCAACAGAGGCCGCAAGTGGCTGGTCTGAGGTAAACCCGAAATCTTCAATCTCGTGTAGTAATTTCCACACGTTCTTGTCAGGATCATAGATATGTATCGCACAACTAGAGTCATAAGAATTCTTATGATCAATAACATGTGAATTCATATTGCTATTACCATCATAATCAAATACCTCTTTTTCATATTTATTCAATCCAGCCTTGATATTCATGTACGACTCATAAATTTCTTTAAGTGAGTCCTGCATATCGTTGGGTGAAACAGCTTCAATGTGGCTACACCCAACTGCAAATAGTTGGCCACCAATGCTGAGCACACTGTACTTGCAGTCACCATAGTGATAATAACTTGTTTTAAGTTTATACTCTTGATCTGGAAAATATCCACAATTTACAGCATACTCTTGTTCATCTTCCTCTGTTACTATATCCGAAGCCATGAAATGATCTTCATTTCCACTTTTATACGTTGCAGGATGGGGGTGACTCAATGTTTGCCATGTGAATGAATCCATCTGTGAAAAATCACTGATGAAACATTGAAAAAATGAGCAGCATTTGTATGGCTCATATGGATGGCAATCATCAAACCTATACATGGAGTATTCATCATCTTCATCTTCGTCTGGTATTATAATATTTTCATTGTAATGATGATCATTGTGCATAGCAGTGAGATAAATTGTATCATTGCAGATGCAGGCAGACATCCATGACATTGAATTTAGATAATCAGGTTGCTCTTCCTCCAGGGCTCTACACTAAGCTCAGGGCCATTCGTAGTCTGGCCTGCTATAACAATCACGTAATTTGGGCAGCTAACAACTTCCGGATCAAAACGTGCCACTGCCATACTTGGGTACTTTTCTTCCCACTTTTTAGAAGGGTTATCCAGCGGGTAACATTGAACTGAAGACTCGGCAGAAAATGGTGGCTTTCCATCAACATGACCTCCAATGGCTAATAACTATTTTATGTCCACCATACCCAACCTGCAATGTAATATGTATGAGTAAACTCTGAGAAATCTGGGTCATTAAGATGTGTGCAAGAGTAACAGGAAGACCTGGACTTTCTTTCTCCTTCTCGCTTATGTTAAGAAAAAGATATTCATGGTGACGAAAATGTCTGCGCAGTGCTCGTGGTCTCATAAAATACTGTAGTTATAATACATTAATTATTCATCAAGTGCAGTAAACATGCATTAGTAGTAGATCTAACTATAACAAGGCGGTCGTCAATGACAGCTACTAGTGGTTGAGCCAAGGTTAGTCCAAAATCATCAATCATGTGGATTTTCTTCCATGTGTCCATATCAGGATCATAGAGGTGTATGGCACAGTGGGGTTCAGGCCCCATTATTCTTCGACTTCCTTGCACAGAAAATATGGCAAGGCTATCAATAGCTGCAAACATTTGATAGAATCTTTTTAGTGATTCTTGCAGAGAATCTGGTGCAATGGCTTCAATATGGTCACACCCAATTGCAAACAGGTTGTCGCCGATGCACAAGAGACTAAACCTACAATCATTGCCATATGTTATTGCGGTGTCACTCACACTAAACGTTACATCATGGGGATGATTCAGTGGATGCCACATGAATGAATCCATCTGTGTGAAATCATTAATGATACATTGAAAAAACGAAAAACATTGGTACGGATCTGCTATCTCTTCTTCATCATAATTTTTTTCAGGGGGACTATTGTGATAGTAATCAGCATCTCTGTGTTTGGCAGTGAGGTAAAGGGTATCATTGCAGACACAGGCAGACATGCATGACATTGGATTCAGATAATTTGGTAACTTCATACTCTCTATCAAATGCCATTGCTCTTCCTTCAGGCTTAAAATCTCAACGCTTAGCTCAGCACGACTTTCCTGGAAATAATGATCTTTGGTCCATCCTGCTATTACAATCACATAATTATTGTAATGGACAACTTCTGGATCAAAACGAGCTGCTGCCATATTTGGATACTTCTCTTCCCACGTCGATTGTGTGGAAGAATTATTGACTGCATAACACATAACTGATGATACCACTCCTCCATCGACCTTACCTCCAACTGCTAATAACATATTATCATTGATAGTAGTAAGACCGAAATTTGTACGATTCAACTCTATCTTTGGAAGCCAATGAGGCTTCTTGTGGGTAGCATTCAAAACATGAATACTTTTCCCACTTGCAAAATACACCTTGCCATTGTGAACAGTTACTGCTCCCTTCACTATTTTTTCTGAACAATGTGTTGAACGAACTTCACGACCAAAACTGAATTCTTTCGCATTCAAAAGTGGCTTCTTAACTGGTTCTTCGGGACTCTGTTCTGACTTGCGCTTTCTGCTGCTTTCAGCTGTAATAACAAAAACGGTATATACATGTGAACTAAGTATATACACTCAATGCTAACGTACATACCCGTTGTTGTGGATGAAGTTGAACTGTCCAATGAGGAACAGGAAGGAAGATATTTGGCTTTAATTCTATTTGCCAATGCCGTAAGTTTAATCATTGGACTTTCAAGCGCTGAAACGATAAGCCCCCATGTTGGCTTTGGATCTGCACTCCGGGTAAAACTTATAATAACTTGTGTCAGTTGCTTCATTGGATCTGAGTACATTCCACATATCTTTTCAACTTCATGAGGCGGCAACCCAAGACGAAGTCCGAGCAAACTTGAATTATTCTGAGCTTCTACTAATTCGTTGGCCACCTTCGCTGCATCCTTTTCAGTGAGTATCTCCTCCGAATTAATACCTTGATCATTAAAGAGAAACTAATGGAAAGAAGCAAAACTTGAAAAGCTTACTTGTCGCCATTTCGAGCTCCTCCACGAAAAAAGGGGCGGAAAAGGAAAATTTTGTGCGCATGCGCACTAACTCCCCTCCGCTCGCTCTGAATGGCTGCGGTAGAGAATGTCGCTGTTCCAGACGCTAAGAAGTGGCTCCACAGGTACTGGCAGTTTCATATCACTGTTGTTTTTTGCCCCGTCTCCGTGATCCAACCAACCAGTGATGAATTTGTTCCTCCAGCTCGTTCTACAAGGAGGCCCTGGACAACGTGGTGTCCTACAATGCTCAGGCGATGAAGGAGCGGAGGGGCAGACTGCCCTACGTGGATGCCCAGACGGGAATAGCCCAGGCCGACAACTACAATTGGAAGAAGCGCTCTGATCGCCAGAGGGGAATCCTACCAGGTGACGTGTTGTGGTGCGCGTTTATTAGAGGTGAAAAGCCCAACAGCTCAGCCTCATTGTCTGTGGAGATTGTAAGTAAAGGCTTACACGCTGTCCACACTGATGCATAGTTTGAGCGTAAACTGAGGTGTGAATGTATGGGTACAGAAGTATTTAAAATGCCAAAAATGTCTACAATTATACATAGACCCCACGGTGTACATAATTATGTGCCCACAGGTCAGGTGTTCTCCTATGTCCCCAACCGATGGAGACTGGAGCCCAAGGGAAAGACGGAGGTGAGTCAGGCCAAGGAGACCAAGACGACCGACGGGAAGGCAGTGGGGGTGCCCCCCTCATCATCGGGGCTAATCCAGACCCTGGAGGGAGGTGTGCTCACCAAGAGGAGCTCTCGCATCGCCAGCAGGAAGGAAGGGGGCGAAGGTAACACCCTCCCTCTCGTTAACTACGTAATTGGCAAGCAGGAGCGAGATAACCTGGTCGTCTGAACGGTATGATTTTTCCGTTGTCATATCATGCAACTGTGCATGCGTCTGGATTACGGGCTCCTTTTTATGGGAAATAGTGTTCATTTTTTCTGCAGAGCTCACTCTCGCTTGCCAATAAGCTTTCCACTCACGTATGTGCTATATAGTAATAAGATTTTATCTATTTGCTCTGAGCGACTTGTTCTGTTTTGGCTTCTGGTTTGTTTACAAGTGAGTCTTAGTTTGGATCTTCCTCGACATTTCCTTGTTTGTGTGTAGCTCCGGTGTTTACATCGCCAAGGTTTTTAATTGCCTCTCTAAAAGGAAATGGCATTGCTGATCGTGTTGTGTGTTACCATTTCCTTCACAACTTTGATCCCGTGTATTTGGTTTGATTAACATGATTCAGTTGTTATTTAGTTTCTCTGGCTCTATGTATGTATGCGTGTATGATGTGTGTGGAGCTTCCGCGTGGATGTTGTCTGTGTTGAGCGTTTCATCACATCCTCGGTCTATACCATTTACGACTAGAACAGGCATTATTTTGGCGAACAAGCAAGAGTGGAACAGTATAGCAACAGAATTTATATTATGTGACCAGTGTACACAGTTAAAGGTGTTCCATTGCATTAGAGTGACCTCCAAACGTGCCCGAACCATGTTCTTTTTATGCACAAGTGTTCTATATTTAAAGGTTAGGAGTAATGTATATATCAGAACTGGATCAAAGTATCTTTTATAGAGGAGTGTCCTTTAGTCACAATATCCTTATGACACGAGGTTTTCACTCGTGTATACAGTCGAGCCTTTCTAGTCCGGACACCATAGTGAAGTGTCCTTATGATATATAGGAGTATCCACCCCTAACATTGTACCTTTCTAGTCCGGACACCATAGTGAAGTGTCCTTATGATATATAGGAGTATCCACCCCTAACACTGTACCTTTCTAGTCCGGACACCAAGTGAAGTGTCCTTATGATAGGAGTATCCACCCCTAACATTGTACCTTTCTAGTCCGGACACCAAGTGAAGTGTCCTTATGATAAGAGTATCCACCCCTAACACTGTATGTATTGAACCTTTCTAGTCCGGACACCAAGTGAAGTGTCCTTATGATAGGAGTATCCACCCCTAACATTGTACCTTTCTAGTCCGGACACCAAGTGAAGTGTCCTTATGATAAGAGTATCCACCCCTAACACTGTATGTATTGAACCTTTCTAGTCCAGACACCATAGTGAAGTGTCCTTATGATAGGAGTATCCACCCCTAACACTGTATGTATTGAACCTTTCTAGTCCAGACACCATAGTGAAGTGTCCTTATGATAGGAGTATCCACCCCTAACACTGTATGTATATAACTCTGGTTTAACTTTGCCTGTCAACGGAGGATGGTTACATACATATGTACCTCTCTGTGCAGGTGGTTCGGTGGTGGGTGTGGTCATGCCGGTGGGGTCAAAGGTGGTCCTGGAGTCGCCAGGTAGCAGTGAGCATAACGAGGAGGAGGAGTCGCCAGAATTGGACATGGACTACCTGGAGGACTACGACAGTGACGAAGAGAAACGCCCTCACCGCAAGAAGAAGAGAGTGAGCCTCACCTCTTGTGTGTTACTGTATGTACTGGATCAAGTTCACACTTCTCATTTCACACTTTGCTGTTCTCTGAAGTGATGTGGTCATGTGTCTGTGTGGTAGACCACTATCTCCGTGAAGGTATAATATACAGTTGGTTTTTAGTGTGTAGGGTGCTCGATTGCGAGAAAAACGGCCAGGTTTCATTGGACCAACGGGTCTGCTGATGAACTAGTAGGATTGCATGCATGCATGCATCAAAGTCAATAGATGTTGTGAAGTGTGGCTAGAACCGTGCCAACTCCCTGATCTTGTGGGCTACGTCGCTCACGTTCACCATGTTACATCACCTCCGTGCCTAATTGTACAAACGTAATTATTCTCCATATCGATTCAAAGTCCCACCTTTGTATATACAGGAGTGATTTGTGCCCCTTGCTATCCTATCAGAATTCTGATACATTTGTTAGTGATGATAGTATACCTACAGAATTGTTCACAGGCTATGTCATATTGCGTAACACTAGTAGGTTCATTTGCTCTTCACACGTGACATGGTGGTGGAATTACTAGGAACTATAACATGTACAGCCTTTCGTGGTGGGAATTTGCGGAAGGAACCCAGGGGTCTAGGGAGCTTAGGACCATATTTAGGTGATAAAGGCATTCTGTGTCAGGAATGATGAAGTTCACTCATTATGATGAATGTTAACCACGGTCACCACATACATCGTACACACTCACTCGCTCTCTCTCTCTTCTTTCTTCCATATCGAATCCTTTCTCCCTCCCTCACCCACACACGCACGCACACACACACACATACACAGCCCAGCTCAGGGAGATCGAGGCAGCCTCCGGCCTCCACTCGCAGTTCTCGGGCCAGCGACCACGACAAGCCTTTCCTCTGCAAATGTATGGCTACAATGTATGGCTACAATGTATATACACCTCCATTGACTGTGCATACATGTGAATCTAATGGTGTTTTTCGCTGGGACAAAATTTGCTGTTTTCATTTTTCGAATAAATATTTTACTGGACGAAAAATAATTATGCTGTGTGTGTCTCTGGGTGCATGGGTGCAGGAGAACAAGAAAATGTTACTGAACGTAGCATAAAGTGCAGACGTTACATCATCGTGTCTATTGTGTATTGCATGTCTGACTATGTGCAGTGTGCAAACGTCGCTACAAGACGGTGGCTTCTCTGAAGGCACACACGACTCAGTACCACGGGAGAGACATCTCAGCCTCTTCGTCCCCCGCCCCCCAGCCAATCATCTCTGTCACTGCGCCAGCTGCCACCCCTCCCTCGTTATCCTCCTCCACCTCGGCCGCTGCTGCCGTCCCCCCCATTCCGGACGAGAAGGTGCCCATCTTTCTGGCTCCTCCCCCCAGTCTCCAGGTGAGATAACATCCACTACACATCCCTGCATATTGTGTATTAGCCCTTGTTCTGTTCCACATCAAACAACTTTAGCAGTCAGATATGTATGCCTTGTGTTGGGTTGGGTTGGTATTGTACTGAGCATTGCCTGTCCGTTGGTAAGAGTCCTCTATATCCCCACAGAGCAGGATATTGTTCACCCATGGCAGCTATAGTGTTATCCTGGGTGTGTCATTCGTCATGCACACTTGCCTTGTGTTGACACAATTCATGACTGCCAGTCTAATGAAGTGTCTTCCTTTCTTCACCAGTCATTAATATGATACGAACACTACCCTCGTATTTTATGTCTGCTAAATTGAAAATGCACGTGTAATAATAATAGAAAGCAGCCATAGCACTTTACCCATTAAATTTATTGTGGTAATTGCCACGTGTAATGAGGCTATGTACTTAGTCGTCTGAATGTGGGATTACATATCGTGCCTGTTCTGTCACACATACTATAACGTAATGGAATACAATCGTTTATGCCATGTGTGTGTGTGTGTGTGTGTGACTCATTGGTGTGGGTCATAGACTCTGACTTGCTCTATTTGTGCACTGTGGTGGTGGTGTCCCATGATCTGCAGGGAAAACCGTTGGCAAAGCCAAACCCAATCTGTGACTTTTGTCTCGGAGACAACAACCTCAACAAGAAGACTGGGCGAACGGAGAAACTGGTGTCGTGTTCTGACTGTGGTCGCTCAGGTGAGTGGATCAACTCACTGTCCACTATAGCACCCTCTAAACACTCATCCTCAATGTACTATTACCGTATGTCAAATGTTGGCTATACTGCTACACCATACTGTATGCCCTGTAGTGCAGTATACAGTAATTATACAGAGCTTGAAGCTGGGCTGCTAAATACAATCTATAGCAGTTGAGCTTGAAACTCGACCAATTTAATACTGCTGAAGCCTGCAGCAGCTTCCATAAATCGCTGAAAAGCTTCGAATGCCGTTGGTCAGCAAGTCTGGCAAGCTAAAGTGAACTAAAGTCTTCGTGATCAGTTCAGTTCTATGTGGTAAACCTGTTGTATTTTGAATCTGAGGTAAACAGTGGTGTTTGTCAAGGAGGGTGGTGGTTTGTATGCTTTGGTTACGTTGCTCTTTCTAGTGCAGCATTTTGCTGGTCGAGCATAGTGCGGAGTGTTCGTCAGCAGGTGTGTGTCATTTAGCAATAAACATGCACACGTGTGATGCTTTGCCTGTAATTACTCACATCGTGTACTTTGTTGCTCTTTGCACGTCCTTTCATGTTGGCTTTGGGGTAACCTCTCTTTAATAGGCAATTATAGTGCCAGGGCGACAGGTACATAGGATGCAGAAATGACTGCCCAATGATGCTACATGTCTGTACATGTGACTGGCCTGGTTCACAGGATGTCTATCTCTCTGTCTGTGCACACAAAGGTCATACATATATACATAGAGGGAAATCGTGGCAATGGGGCTAGGACTATCCATCTGCTTGCACTCAGTTTTGATCTCTTGGTCTTACTAGTCTGCAGACACTCAGTGAGTCATATCTCCATTCTCTATGGAGTTTATCTTTTGGATGGTCAGCGAAAAACCAACGTTGTCAGGATGAACTCAGCCCCAGAGTACTGGGAAACCTATATTATGTGATACACTGAGTACTGAGCCACAAATTCCAGTTGGTTTGCCTCTTGTGTCACGGCAGGTCACCCGACATGCATGCAGTTCTCGGCCAGTCTGTCACTAGTAGTGAGGACCTACCGCTGGCAGTGCATCGAGTGCAAGACCTGCCACCTCTGTGGAACGTCTGAGAATGATGTAAGAACTCCCACAAATCAATTCTATATCATATGGCGGTTTTTTCTCTCGTCAGGCAAGAATGCATGATGCGAGAACAAAGCTCAGTGACAATGTCTGTTTCGCTCACTTAGAATGGGGTTCACAATATGTGCAGCACTTTAAAATTATTGTCACCTTGACCTCACTTGATAGAGCAGTTCTTATATAACGTGACAGTCACTGAACTTTCACTATGCGACTGAATATGCACAGAATGTCGCCCGGGAGATGTCCAGGATGCATGTTACTCTGTGCTGTGAAGGCAGTGTCCCCTCTGCCTCGAGACCCATGAATACAGGTGTGTAAATACCCTGTGGGGGTATTAGTGTTATAGTGCACTGATAACCCCGAGGGTATTGAAGACTAGGACTTAATTGTATAGCAGCAACTTCCTTTGAACCCAGTGTGTGGGAAGGACTCGCGGTCCATCCTTTATGCACATTTTTATCGCCATTACCACCATGTCGTGTGTCTGCCGTCTATCGCAGGATCAGCTGCTGTTCTGTGACGACTGTGACCGAGGCTACCACATGTACTGCCTCAAGCCACCCATCAAAGAACCTCCTGAAGGTATGTGTACAGGTGGAGCCATGATGCAGGGGAAAAATAAAAGTTGGAACACCTGTAACCTGTTGCATGGATATTGCGAGTTGTACAAAGCAGCTTTTGGACTGTGTCTGTGTGCTGTGTGTCGCTCTCTCTGCAGGAAATTGGAGCTGTGGGATGTGTTTGAAGCCCATGTCAGCTCTCAAGTCCACTGACATCATTCCCAACCTACAGAACTGAGACCAACTATCATTTCCAACCTACAGAAACTTACATTATTGTCAGCTAATCATGTGACTCTTGAATCAATCTTCTTTTTTAGTGACTGCAACCGTGCATGAATTACGTCATCTGCGGTGGAGTAAGGGGAATCCACAAAATGTGCGCGCTCGTTCCGGCATTAGTTCCACCGTCCGATTTCCGCTCTTTATAAAAGCGGCAATTCGCAGACCCACGCATCAAGTGCGACGGAAAAGTCACGAAAACTGCAGGAAGAAAGAGTATACACTATGCTGTTGAAGAGCAAATACTTATCGCTGGTGGTGGCGCTGATGCTGTCCTGCAGCCTGCAGCGGGTTGCACCTCGCATGGCATTGGAGACGCAAGAAGACTACCTGAACCATCTGTACCTGCGTGTCAAGGACCGCCCGCTGAGAAACGGAGAGCTGAACTTGCTGCCTGACGACAGTCTCCCGGGCTTTGCCAACACCGTTCGATGCGTACCCGAGAGCGAAGAAGGTGCGTAAAGTATAAAGCAGCCATGCATGAAACTCACTCGCAGGCCGATGCAGCTAGGTCTTAGGTCAGTAACATGCCCTAACGATTGCATCACGTTATGCGAGTGTGTACTACTACACCGGGTTTCCAGAGACCACTGACTTTGAGACTCCACACCAACCCATGCAGGTGCAGCAGACATGACTGAGCTCACTCGAAAGATGCAGTTTGAGAGACCGACCATCAAAGCCACAGAGAACCTCGTGGACGTGAAGCTGGTCATCAACCTCCCTGCAGGGTTCAACCAGGACGGCGACGTCACGCTCTTTGAGATTTCATCAGACGGCGACAGTCGAAAGCAGCTCGACACTGTGAGTGTCCCGTCGTGCCACAGCACCTGCTGGTTCCAGCTAACGGTGGGAGTGGAGAACCTGCGTGACTCGATGGAGTTTCTGGTCGAATTCAATCACGGGGACGGGGATTTTGTGCGGCGGCTCAACCCCATGATGGTCCTCTACACATACAGAGAGCAGCCGGTGTCAAACCTGGTGGACACGCGCCGAAAAAGGCAGCAGGAAGAGGGGATGGCAGGCGAGGAAGACGTAAACACTCGACTCTCGACGCTCGAGAGTAGAAACGATCCGTGCACAAAGCAGACGGTGAGACTCGGATACTCGCAGCTGAGGTGGCTGGATGAGGACATAGTCCTTATCAGTCCAACTCGCATCATATTTGACTTCTGCTACGGACACTGCAACCCTCCACTCAACGTCCCTCCGATTCACGAGCTCACAGAGAGTTTCGACAAACGAGCCCGTATCCTTGAGGTGGTGAACAGGCTGAGCGAGAGCAGACTAACGCCTCCGCCGTGCTGCGTCCCCGTCTCCTACATAGCCAGAGAGATCATTTACGCCTCAGGTGAACTCGTAGCAATGACAACCATACCCTCCGTACAGGGGTGCGGCTGTAGGGCTTGATAGATAGAGATTTTATACCTTATTTCAGAGATTTTATATATATGGATTGGCATTATCATCAGTCGTTCAAATTTAATATATCAGCTGGAAGTCACTGTCCATGTTTTGTGGAGTTATACCTATTGTGAGTAACTGTGCGTGAAATGGAAAATTACTTATAAAATGCCAAGTAGAGTGGACGCCAATGAGAGGCAGAAATAAGCTTATCACATTACTGTCTGAGTGCACAGGTCTAGAGCTTCATCAGGTCAGGTCAGGCATTAGTCAGCCACTGGCGGCCATTGTAGGGATCACCTTACAGCCACAGAAACACGATACCTCTCGCTAGTCTACTCAGCACCCCCACCATACCACTGGCAACTCAACATCTCCACCATCCCACTGGCAACTCAACATCTCCACCATACCACTGGCAACTCAACATCTCCACCATACCACTGGCAACTCAACATCTCCACCATACCACTGACTATACTGGCTATGCACACCACATTCCTATTATACCATGCCATTCCATTTACTGGCTACAAAGCGTCCCGAGTGTGCATTAGCCAGTCGTCCCCAAAAGTTCTGATTGCCGTAGAGAATTCTTTGCATACACTTGAACAATACTGTGAGACGAAACCTGTGTTCCCTGCCGTCTGTTGTTGTTTTAATTTACAGTGTGCACACATTGGTCAATGCATATTCAAATTCGCAGCAACACAGACATACAATTCACAGCATTAGGTATATTATATAGCTGGGTCAGTTCTGCATTCATCCTATTACAGCTGCAGAGTATGCATACGTATTGTATTACGTGGCCTAGGAAGGTAGATATTCTTCTAGCGCAAACTGATGAATCCACACTCAATTAGCTTTTGAATCTTTGTAGCAATTGCAGGGTTCTGCAGGTGGCTGTGTGTGTGTGTGTGTGTTGGGAGTCCAGTAAGTAAAGGGGCAAGCATACTATTACAATATGCATGCATGCTACGCTATAAACCTTTCTGCAAATTAATCACGTAAGTGCCTGTGTGTGTTTACGTCACTTGATATATCATCAGGGGCTACAGAGAACACCACAGCTAAAGGCCTGAAGCATTAATGTGTACACAGGTGCTGCAATTGATTTCTTCTAAAGGCTTTGCTACAACAGAGAAGATTAGCAAAACAAATGGAGTGTATTACAGGGGAATGCTCCAAAACGTTTCATCTATATACCCACCACGTTAAAATATATCACAAACACTTCCTCCACTTACTCTCGAAGAGCCTCAGGGTGGGTCTGCATCTGTTGGAGGATGAGCTGCATGGTGGGGTCTCTGAGGATGGCCTGGACCTCTGGGTCGTGGAGGGCTGCCTTTCTTCTAGCTTCCGGGTCGTCCTGTCTCATACACCGCTGCAGACCAGTCCTGGCATCCTTTGGTGGCAGGAGGAAAGGGAGAGAGAGAGAGGGAGACAGGGACGACGAGGGAGGAGTGGGAGGAGGAGTGGGGGACAAGGGAGGACTGGGTAAAAGTGGAGACTGAAGCAGAGGATGTTCTCATCCCAGCCACACAATCATCACTTTCCTTTTTATATGGTTAGGAATGTCACAGTTTCATTAATGCCCCACTCTTAGAGATTGTACAGGATGCACAAGTGTTTTCAGCTTGAAATTATATGTGTGTGTAGTATGCGTACGTACAGTATCGTTGTGGTTGACTTGTTTGTTTGCCTTGTAACCTCGTTTCATTCATGCCACCACTCACAGGATGCACAGGAGATTTATAATTTTGTGTGTATATCATGCCTACATAAAGTAGGTCCTCCCGCTTCATTGAAGCGTCTACAACTGAATAATCATTCTCATGACAGTGGTGGTGTATCAGGCGTGGACAGAGTGGCAGCAAGGCCCACCACTAGCAGCACATTCCAGGCCCTCTCCCACTTCGATCCGGTGTCCTCAAAGGGACACGACTGCAAGCGATGCACCACTGCCCCGTGTCTGCTTTACAAACCTCGTGACATGCACAGTAAATAGGAGGAGAACACTATACCCCCTTATTTGTACAACACGCACACACACACACACACTGACCCACCAACTGGTAATGCGTGAAACGTGAACTAAAGGTCCAAGGGATCTCGTACCCTCCTACGTGAAAAGCCCACAGCACACTGTATATCTGTCCAGAACAACAGGTCTGAAACATGCAAGCTTATCAATCTCACGGCATGTTGTGTGACAAATAGTCAGGAACCTTGCAGATGCTTTTTACTGCAAAAATGAAAGCACTCAAGTGCAAACCCTTGGCGCACTATAAATGTCAAACTCCTACATACGTATATGCTGCTAATTGATGGGCTGGGCTATGCATTGTCGACTTACTCCATTTACTCTCTTGCTAGTCTAGTACTGAAATGTTGGCTGTGCATGTGCGCAGACAATTAAGGACAGCAAAGCACATAATCCTCACGACCCTTATTACCAAACTCATCAGAAGAGTGAAGAGTGATACTCTATTTAACAAAAGAAGCAGAATGGTATAATAACGTAGGTTAGGGTGCAATCGTAGTACTAATGGGCAATCCGAAAGAGTTAGGTTTAGAGGTTTCTTACATATGCAAAAAACAGTACTGGCCATGCCTTAAAAAAGAAAACTATGTCAAAATAATAAAAATATACGGTTGATATGGGCAATCCAAGAGAGTTATGCTTAATTATTATATGCAAAACAAAAACTGATTAATTGACAGATATACCATTAGGTAAAACAACAAATTCTATGGGCCAGCCCTACATCTCTCCAGACAGACGTCTACGGACGCAGTGCTATGCCGAACTATACGCTGTCCTTTGAGATGTATGTGGGTCAGTGGATGGGTAAGGGGAGGAACCAGAGCTGTTCCCAGCCAATGCTCTGGACCACCTGTCAGTTTCAGTGCGGGTCAGGGATTCGAACCGGGCACCTTATGTGACAGTCCCCACGTCTCTAACCACTTAGCCACTTGGGCTGGCCACGAGAGCTGATGAAAAAACGTTCCTCTTATATCAACACTCATATTACATCATTTTTAAAAACCTGACCCAGACCAGGGATCGAACCACTGACCTCACGATCAAGTCTGAGAGTCCTTATCCATCAGACCACACCCAACACTTGGTTAAAATTAGTACAATTATCTATTATTATAGCTGGCGACTATGACACCACATAGTTTAGGTTTACTATGTCTGCCACAGATATAACCTGGATTGTGTGTGTTTCTGGTGCAGATATTCACACACGCACCCACACACATAATACCCGGTGCGTATTCAATTTTGCTATGCGTATACACAGTCTACGTGCCATGGTAACCTGAAAAATTAAAGCACTAAAGTGCAGTTAACCTTAAGTGCAAACCATTGGCATGCGCACTGAGGGTTAATTATCTTAATACAGTGAGTTTTAGGTGCAATTTCTTCTAGATGACTGAGTGCTCAGAAATTAATATTAATACTTACGACACTCTGTGGGTCGAGCTCAAGGGCCTTCTCAAAAGCCGTACCAGCCCTGATGGTGTCCTTCATAGCCAGTAGAGCATGTCCCTTCCGTACATGTGCCTTCACTGCAGCAGCGAAATGAGATACAACACACGCACACACACACACACACACACACACACGCGCGCGCGCGCAAGGACGCACACAAGGACGCACACAAGGACCTACACGCGCATGCACAGACACACACACACCCATGGGCACACATACACAAGGGAAATGAAATGTGGTTATGTAATAGACTCTGCAGGGGGGGGGCACTGCTAGTGAGCCATGGAAGTGCAGTGGCTCCAATGATCAGACTCACCGAATGTTGGGTCTAGTTTTATTGCCTCCTCGCAATCCTGAGAATAAAGCCAGCATATTATCACAATATGCAATGAAACTACAGTATCAGTACAGTACAGATACTTGGATAGCAGCCATAGTATATACTAGGGGGCATCGATAACACACCCAGAGCAATACGTGAGACCTTTCAATGCGTATATACTCTGGTGTATCTCTTATGGAGCAGGAGGGAATAGTGCAGTATTATTCCAAGCACTATGGGGCTATAATGAGTCTGTAGATATTGGGCATCACTAGCATGCAGAAGCTAGAAAGCCCAGCAAGTGACGAGTTACCCTCGCTCACTGACAATAGTTATATACTGCAACCAGACACCATTAACAAACACTAAATCTTTTGTGGTTCACACAGATCAGCTGGTCGTATTAGTACTTGGTAGCATACGTAACTGGATAAAGCAGAGCTCTAACACACACGTACACATGCAGAGCACGCGAGTGCTCGGAACTTGTTTCCAAACAGACTAAACGCACTGTACACATGTGGTCTGCAGGCGCTATGTGAGATACCTTGAGAGCCAGGCTGAACTCGAGCAGTTTCTGGTAGCAGGCTGCCCTGTTGCTGTAGATCTTGGCGTCATCAGGATTTCTCTTGATGGCCTCATCATAGTGCTTCACAGCATCAGGGAACTTTCCTGCATACACACACACACATGCACACACACATGTACAGTATGCACACATAGGTACACACACAGGTGAAGAGGAATAAAGGGAGAGAAGAGAAGGAGAATTTCTAGCTGCAAGAGGAACAACTTTGGGTTGTAGAATTGTGTCCTCTGGAGAAATTGAAGGGAGAAATTGAGGAGAAAGGTCAGAATACATGCACCGCGAACTTTCTGCCCTCACATACAGTCACATGGAGACTAACCTTCCTTGAAGCATGCATTTCCCAACTCCTTTTCCTCCAGACTCTTTGCAGGGTCGACGTATGCCCTCATCTCTTCCTCCTTTTGCCTCTTTAGAGCCTGTGTGTGTGTGAGAGGGGTGGGGGTGGGGGGAGGGGGTAAGAGGGGGTATGGTGAAAGAGAAACATTGAACAGCCGTTGGTTTTATTCCCCTGCTCATAGATGGAGTTTATACTGCACCCCCTACCTACATAAGCAAACATGTTTATTTGGCAAAACACACCCCGATGACCCAAGGCCATCAGAATCACTCTCACGGCGGTCACACGCAACCACTCAACTCTACACGAATGCACTGCAGAGCTTCACCACATTTTCAGAAACACATTTGCCCGTCTAACGTTTCCTGTCCAGCTCGCCCCCACACGGCCACCAGGAAGCCCCTCAACATCCCCTAGATGCCTGTACACCACTCGGGCGCACACACTCACACACACTGGACAACATGTAATACTGCACCCCAAAAGCACTGTACTTGGAAGACGGTGTGCACTAAGTATACAGTGGAGCAATTTCCTGTTCATTAGCAGCAGGCAGCACGGCTGGAAGCTGGGATACCAGGGCCCAGTCACACTGGCTACTCCGCTCGGTGTTTGTAAACTTTAGACTCGGTGTCAGAGGAGAAGCCAGCAGGAAGACTTTGATCTCTCTGGCCTAGCAACGGGAGCAGTGTCATTTCAATCCTACAGCCACCCGCTCACCCTCACACTTAATGACATACCAACAGCAACTTCCCTCGTTCACCCCCTCACCCCCACCCTTCACCTTTCACCCTTCACCCTCACACATAACGAAATACCTCTTTCTTCCTTGCTACATGTATAATATGGAATATGCTCGTTAAGGTACCCGACCTTTCTGACTAACTTAC